CACACACGTTTTGTATGGTGACGGGTTTGTATTCCAGCAAGACAATGATCCAAAACATAGAGCGAAGCATTCTTAGGATGTCACACACCCGGAATGGCCCAGCTACAGTCCGGGCCTGAACCCAATTGAAAATAGTTGGCGAATCATAAATAAATATCAATAAAAATAATCTCAAAAATATTTGTGATATAAAAGCAGAGGTGGTGACATATTGGGACAGTATGACTCATGGCTTTCTAACTTCCTTGACAGGCAGTATGCTCCGCCGCATTGCAGCATGAGGATGTCCTGAACTTAAGTGCACTTCATTTGCCCCTTTCCGTTGCACTTTTTTCTTCTCCAATATTGTGGGATTACCCACTATGACACATTAAACATGCAGAGTGCAACATGGTGAATCTCTTACCGACACTCACATGAGCAGCTATGTCAGGACCAACCATGAAGGAGCAAATCTCACGAAGAACCAGTTTTTGTATTTTTTTCTCTTTGAGTGAGTGACTATGTTTTGACGTCGCTTTGTTTTTTGTTGTTGGGTTTTTTTTTGTTGCAATATTCTAGCAATATCACGGTGGGGGAACATCAGATATAGGCTCCGCACATTGTACCCATGTGGGAAATAAAACCCGGGTCTTCAGCGTGATGAGCGAACGCTTTTACCTCTAGACCTCATCGACCCGGTGTGTTATGGTAATTATTCGGCTGAAGATGAAAACATTGTTTTTCTAGCTCCCATATGTCTCTGTTCAAGTATGTGTAACATTTACGGTCCATTTCACTATGAATGTATCAGCGTTCAATAAAGTGAAGGGCATACGATAGGCCCATTTCCGTCTTATTGTCAACTATATTTAGGTATATTGGCTGTTATAGTTATATCAATATCCGTCTTGGCGTATCATACAGTCTTATGGGTAGTATAAGTTCACATATGTCTCATTGTTCAGCTATACTTACATACATGTTATATAAGGTTTCACGTGTCTCAGTGTGCAATTGTGTTCATTAAATGCGGTACAATAGACCCATATATGCCGATTGTTCAAGTTCAGCTGTCACGTAAGGTATATTCAGATTCACGTGTCTATACGCGTAAATCTTGTCCAAAACATGTGGCTAGTCGTGTCTCATTGTTCGGCTATGTATATCATGTCCGATATATGTGGCTAGACATGTCTCACTTTACACCCTAATATAGGTCTTCAGCAACCCATGCTTGCCGTAAAAGGCGAATATGCTTGTCGTAAGAGATGACTAACGGGATCGTGTGGTCAGGCTCGCTGACTTGGTTGAAACATGTCATCGATTCCAAATGCGTTGATCGATGCTCATGATATCAATCACTGGATTGTCTGGTCCAGAATAGATTATTTACAGATCGCCGTCATATAGCTGGAATATTGCTGAGTGCGGTGTAAAAAAAACAACACACCAAACCAAACCAAACCTTTCGGAAGGACAGACAAATATATTTTCAATGGACTACAAGTAACACTGTGTATGGATGGGCAGTTATAGAACATCATTGATACATGGTCTGTATACAGAGGGAGAACATACCGGAGACATACACTAGATCTGTGTAAACACAGGAAGATACATATCTTTCTGACAGACATTGTATTAAACAAGCGAGCTATGGAGCAAAACACACACATTTCAAAACTCTTCCCGACATAATGTTGGGGATGGTTCAGTTCACATGCTTCACACATCGAAACAACCTCATTAGTACAAACACCGTCCACCATGGATCGTCCAGATTAACATATTTCCGAATGGACAAGTCATGGTGAGGTGAGGTGAAATGGGGTTTAACGTCGCGTCCAAGATTATTGCACTTATATAGCGACGTGCATGCACGTTTATGTATGTGTGTGGCTGCTTGTACTAGTCCGGACTGATGCCGATTTATAGTGCTAGCACACTGAGATACCATGCCGCAGTTTAACATAGATACCCCACTCAGACACAGTATACTGACTCCGAGCCGACCAGTCCTTGTTTTAGCCTCTTAATGCCGAGCGCCAGACAGGGTAACAACAAGTACCATCTTTTAACGTCTTTTGGTATGACGCGGCCGGGGGTCGAACCCCGGACCTTCCGCTCTCGGACAAGTCATGGTATGTTACAATATTCAATTAATTATATAAAGACGCTCCAAAGAGTAAAACAGTGTGTCAGGATGGACGGTGTCCATACTCACGGTGCTTCACTCTATAGATACATGTAGAAAGGGATCCAGGTTTGTACTGAAAATATGTCGAATCGCGTCGAGTCGAATTGAAGCATCTCTAACATCAGTTGTATTCGCTGAAAGGCTCAACTGTAAGCATGTGACATATCAAACGTTACCTGCTGGGGTTTTTTCATTCAAAAGTGATTTATATTTATGAATATCGTGGTTTTGTATTTCAGAATCTGGCATGTGGTGAGTTTTATGTTTTCATACTAAACATTAACTACACTCTACAGTATGCAGATGCAATTTATGACAATTTATCTCTGTTTTGGGGAAGATGAAAGCGTCGACATAGTATTCGAAACCTGACTTATTTCCGTATTGGTTTAGCTTGTCAGCTGTGTCATTTCCCGAGCTCAACACAGCAGCGTCACCTTCCTCGAGAGCGAGGCAAATCGAAACCAATTGATTCTGAATAAATGATGATAATTCTAAAAAATGACATATACTATCTAGGAAAAGTATTCGAAAATCACAAATGATTACAGACATACAAAGAGGTAAAGTGTGATGGTAATGGTTGGATAAGAAAAAAAAGGAGTAATAATTGGTGTAACATGACAATCAATAGAACATGTTGGCTGTCTTTTGTAAGAGTACAAACAAACAAACAAACAAAATGGACGACAGGTGTGTAAAATACAAAATGAACGTTTGAAATGGCTTATTAATTAATGGACCATGCTCCCACGATAGGTTAAACATTCATTTATTTGGCGTGGCATGGTCTTAATCAATCTTCCAATGACAATTTGAGGGAGTCTTGTCCACTCCTTTTGCTGCGCCTGGCCCAGTTCGCCTCATGCAGCTGGTAGCATCTGACGTTGGCGTACACGTCTCCCGATCATGGGCTTGACGTGCTCTGCTGGGGAACGTTGGGGACTCATGGTTGGCTGTTGGTGATGTTTTGCTGCGGGAGGTAGTCAGGTACTAAACGTGCAAGATGGACACGAGCGTTATCGTCTTGAAAGACAAAACGTGCGAGGCCGATCATTCACATTTTGTGTCTGCAGAAACCTGTTCCAAATCTGCAAATCACAGACGGAGACCCATCGAACATATTGGCTACTTCTCACTGAGTTCTACCATTCTGTAGCAGGCCAATAGCTTCTGACATTTTTATAAGGTATTGTTGGTGTTGATGTCCCAAGCTTGCATTGGTCAATGAGTATATAGAGGGACGATGGGGTAGCCTTGTGGTTAGACCCAAGTTTAATTCCAAACATGGATACAATGTGTAAAGCCCATTTTATGGTATGCTCCCCCTAAACCTGGTGTAAAACCAAACTCATTCTGTAAGCAGAACGTCTGACAGATACATGTATAGCTTATTTCTAGGAAACTAGTGAGTCTAACCTTTGTTGTTCCCAACTACACAGCATGTTTGGCGATGCTGGAAAAGTAACTCTTTACATTCAGGTGAGATATCCCAGGGCAAATACTTGTCAAAACATGTCATGTCTTCAAGTCAGCTGAACCTTCTCAAGTCGAGTAATGCAATTATTGGGGAAAGATTATCATATTACATTTGTGCTTCAAACTGGCTAACATATCATTGATGTTACGCATGTTCAAAGTCCCCGCAATTTGTCTAATAGGTAGTTGTTTAGTATTCTATTTATTCTGTAAAAGTTGCAAATAGTAGTATTCGATATGTTTTCTAAAGGCAGAACGGCAGACATTTTCAGATAATATTGTCGGGAAATGTATTTACATGTATGTCATGATCATTAGTTAATGGATTGTCATACGACTCTTGCTCGCTCAGAGGTTGTTAGATCAGGGTTCCAGCATTCACGGTCTTCGTAAACCTTTTAAAAATGTTTAATGGTAGACATGTGGATGACATTTCCAGATTTGACGCTTCAGTGACAAGAATGATGTCTGAGGCAAATTATTATTTTGACTTGTACCATAACATACTGACCCCGTGTTGAGGTGAACACTTGACTTGCGTCTGCATGTGTTTATGATGGGTGCAACCGGTGGGGCAGGGATTCATAAACTCATGCTTGTAATGATATAGACGGAATCGTACAGTGGACAATGGAGACATGTTTTTTGTCACTTTTATTTCTTAATTTGAGAGAGATATATATATAAAGATATATAGATAGATAGATAGATAGATAGATAGATAGATAGATAGATAGATAGATAGATATTTATTTATTCGAAAGTGAGTCATTTCCGACACATGACTCATCATTCAAAACACTAAAGACATTTCCTAAACGCGATGAATATCGCGGATGAAACAGCTTACATGTATATACTCTCCAAACAAAGAAACATATAGCTGATAACAATATTTTTAAAAGTCAATTTCGTGTATCGGAATTATTCAATGTCACACAGTTACGTGAAAATATAGTCTACATGTTATTGTTTGTCGATAAAGTGTCACAAAATGGTTTAATATGGATGAACTTTGAGATTTGCACAGTTTATGACGTCGTTTGAACAAACCATTCAGTTCAGAAGTGAGTTTGAAATCGTAAGCCAAGACTCAATAATAATGCCATAAATAACGATATTGGTAGTCTTGAGTATACTGTATATATGTAACATGAGGGAGTTAAAAATTCAAACAAACATTTTAGCTATTTACATTTGAAGACGCAGGAATTAGTAAAAACACATTGCATATATGTAGTATGCTTGCCTAATGCATAAGCTCTATTTTAGTTCCGACAAATTTGAAACTTCCGTATCTCGCCAACTTTGTCCCACAAGCCCGTCGTCAACCTACACGCTCGCTTTCATAAATATGAGCTGGAAGGTTTCAAACTAAAATGCACTGCGCTGGTTAGTCTACTTTCATAATCCGGGATCACCCCTCTGGTCTGCGCAGATGTGGCCATGCTTCCCCAGTCTAACAGGGACTCTTACATGGACCCACAGTTGATCAGAACTACACACCAACTACTGCAAGTAGTGGAGAATATCTGGCATAGAACCAATCAGTACATACAGGTACGTGCCTCTTAAAATATGCCCGTATTCTGATACGTATATAACCGACAGGCATGGTTTACTGGCATGTTCACCCGAAGATATCAATCGTTTATAATGCCATTTTGTCTGATAGAATGTATTTCGTTTATATGGACAAGTATGCTTAATTTCGCTTTTCTCTCCAGGTTTACATTCCATTTGCTTCGTGTTTAGGTAATTAACAGGAAATAACTTATAACGTCCAAAATTGTAACAGATATTACTTCTAGTAATAGTGGATTGATAATAATGAACGAATTGGGAACACATTATAACTGGTAGTGAAGTATAAAGTTATGACCCAACGATGTTGAAGGACGATGGTCGGCGGTCAAACATGCATTCACCCGATCAGGCATTCTGCCTGAGTCTCCCAATGGCAATCTGAGGGGGCCTGTTCTACTCCTTCTGCAGCGCCTGGCCACGTTCAGCATACGTGTTCAATAGGGGAAAGGATGGAAGTTTGCAGCAATTTGAGTCGCCGTTTGAGTTCGATTGTGTAGAACCTGCTTTCGGATCAATCTATCTTGTACTCGTGTCGTTGACCTGCTAAACACAGACTGTGAATCAAGTAAATCACAATTGTATGATAAATAAGATTGACAGAAATATTGGTCCACAGAGATTAAATTACCTTTCCTAAAACTCAGGAATGACACCTTACTCATGTGTCTGGCGCTACTGTGTGAGACAAGTGAAAACTGTAGGATGTGTTTTGGTGTTAAGTTTTACAGACATAAACGTTCGTGCATAGGATATTTGTTGTCAAGTGTGAGTGAGTGTGAGTGAGTTGGGTTTAACGCCGCTTTTAACATTATTCCAGTTATATCACGGCGTGTCAGCTTAATGTGGGAGGAAAGCCCGAAGTGATGCAGGTCTCAGACGTTAACCACTTCGGTGAAACCCACGAGCACGGGTATGGTGCTGACAAACCCAGAAACATAATCGGGGCGAACCAGGATTCGAACCCACAATCATAGGTTTCTGGCGTGCCCAAGGGACGCAACTCTGCACAGCGAATCGCGGCGCCTTAGACGACTGGGCCACCCGTGCCCCTATTTGTTGTCAAGACACATGGTATTAACATTTATATGTCCTGAGCCCTTACTTTTTAATTTAGTATATTATTCAGTGTTTTTTACAGGAAACGTGTGTATGACAGGCCACAAGTGACACAGACCTTCCCGGTGTTTGAGCCACAATGTCGACAATATTCATCCTGTTCTGTTCCCTGGCCTCGCTACACAGCGTCGCGTCTCAGGGTGAGTTTCACACACAGTCAGTTATGCCAGAACTCGTATTCCTGCTGTCGCAGCTAGTTTCATTTGTGTCTAAGCATGTTTTCCTTTAATGCATAATGTTTAGCTGACTTAAACATCGTCAAATATCTTGGAAATATGACAGCGGAATATGACTTAACAATCATATTTTTTAATTAGAATTTTACCCGAGTAACTTCTGATATCAAAGGTATGAACACTCGTCAATATGTGAGTTTGGTTAACATACCCAAGAATCTGTGCCATGAGTATCACCCCACGTTGAAATTACTCAACCGTAAAATGGTGATAGATAAAGGGCCTCGGCATTTAACAGTATTCCAGTTACATCACTCCGTGTCAGCTTAATGTGGGAGGAAAGCCCGAAGTGATGCAGGTCTCATTATCAGACGTTTACCACTTTGGTGAACCCCACGAGCCCTGGTGTAGTGTTGACAAACTGGTGCTGAGATAAATAGTCAAGGCGAACAGGGATTCGAACCCATAATCATATGTTTCTGGCCTGCCAAAGAACCGCAACTCCATACATTTATTTTTTCCGAAATAGGAAAACCGCCAGGCATAACAGATCCGCTGGTGCATCAAATCAGGTTCATCGCTGCCAAGGACAGCATCAATCTCACATGCAAAGCAGAGGGCAACCCTACCCCCAAGTAAGAACATTATTTATATAGCTGAACGCACATGTACACTGAGTGAGTGGGTGAGGTTTTGGCAATTGAGTGGGTGTGTTTTGGGTGGGTGGTTGAGTGAGTGTACTCATGTGGGGAATCGAGCCCAAGCCTTTGGTGTGACAAGCCCACGCTTTAAACACGATGATACCGTGGTCACGCCAAAGATCCGGGTTCGATTCCCGACATGGGTACAATGTGTGAAGCCCATTTCTGGTGTCCCCCGCCGTGATATTGCTGGAATATTGCTTAAAGCGGCGTAAAACCATACTCACTCACTCTTTGGTGTTGGCCCACTGAGATGCCATACACACATTACATCTGACTACGACCCGACGGGACCTTGTTTTATCCCCTTACTGCCCAGCGCCAGGGAGAGCAACAGCAACTACCAGAATGACGCGTCCAGGGCCTCGAACCACCGATAAACAACAAGAAGTTAGACTAAAGTATCATTGTTATATATTTCAAATACAAAAATGAATTATAGAAATCCATAATGTAGGATGTGTTGTCGGGAGGAAGCTGGGAGCAAAACTAGAATATTCTAAAGTGAATTCAACAGGACAAGAAAAAAGAAAAAACTTCAATTTTGTCAGAATTATAATTATTGCAACAGAAACAATTTTCACGTCCGTGTAACATATAAACAAGGATGTTGTATCCGACGTTTATTGACCGTAGATTTCACGTACAAGCTGACCCTTCAGCAGATATGCTGTATGTTCAATCCAAGCAAATCTGGTTTTCTGGGAGTGAACCATAACTAGACGATATATGAACACCTTTGGGACCACCGCTAACTTCAGATAAATACCTGACATAACTTTTAGCATTTCAGTTTTTGTTTACTTCATGATAATAAACGCCCCCTTCTGAATATCTTCTTATCTGTTTTGACAAGCCTGACACATGGGTTGCTATAGTTTCTTGTGCTCGTGAGAGTACATAACCCGCTCCAAAGAACTTCAGTAAATATATTGTGTAATTGGTAGTGAATCTGACACAGTCGACGGAAGATCATATTATAGATACCGTTTCGCTCTGTACCATAAACGTACATCATTTATAGCTCAAATGCTGACTGCAGCCTTAAACAACAAACAAACAAAACATCCTTAAATGTATCGACATGCCTAAGATTGGTTGGTTGGTTTGTTGTTTAACGCCGCATCAGCAATATTCCAGCTATATGACGGCGGTCTGTAAATAATCGAGTCTAGTCCAGAAAATCCAGTGATTGATATCATGAGCATCGATCCACGCAATTGGGATCGATAACATGTATCAACCAAGTCAGCGAGCCTGACCACCCGATCCCGTCAGTCGCCTTTTACGACAAGCATAGTCGCCTTTTACGGCAAGAATGGGTTGCTGAAGACCTTTTCTACCCCGGAATCTTCACGGATCGACATGCCTAGGAAACAGGACCTCTTAGTGATTGTGGTCATGGTTTTCAACTCTGTGAAGTAAGCTGTCTACTGTCATGAGACAAGCACTACAAAATGACTGGACACACTTCTATCTTCCTGTTCACTCTGTACACATATTTTCTTCTTTTTTTAGCATCTGTATTAGATCAGGATTCCACGTTTTTAAAACCCATATTACTTGTAACTAATACAATGTTTCCATAGTTTGTAGCGTTATTACCTATTTTCCCGCCAAATCGAAATATTGGTATGATCTTATACTTGTTGTACATCCAATACATAGTGAAGATCAGTATAACTGGAAAATACTCGGAGGAATACCACTGGAGCATGACTAAGAACAACTTCAATTTAAGATACTGCATTCAATTATTCTGTGTAATGTGTACTTTAATAAGATACATGTAAAGAATAGTAATTTGTGTGAATTATGTGAAAGCGTAGATACCACAAAACATTATCTATTTTATTGCCAAATTGTTTGCCCTTTTATATGTCTTCACTTATAGTTGTAGCCACCAAAATACAAGGTTGGACCACTGCCTAAAATGAAAGTAATTTGGTCCTGGAGTTAACTGATTGAAGGTTTTAAACGTCAAGCCTTAATGTGATTAATTTAGTGACAAAGATAGCAAAGTAGAGAGATTACAGAAACAAAGCGCTGGGGATTGTCTACTAACATGGCTATTAGTTTACTTGAGTTAGTAAACACAATGAAAGAAAATCAAAAGGCTCCTAAAGACTTTACTGACACAACGAACAGAGAAGAGACATTATAGAAACAAATGTATGTATGGCGTAGGCGGCGCTTAAGGAAATCGACTGACATGGTTAATTTAATGACGCAACGAATAGAAAAGAGGTGCGCATGTGTAGTAAGTGAAATATCGACGCATGCGCTGAACGCCTTTTCACTGTCAACTCCAGTAGTCTTTTCTAGTTCTAAAACCAAAGTACCTATGGTAATGCGGGATGCTCTTTCTCGAAATTTAAACAAATTTTTCACCGTCGTTTGAGAAATTTTATCGTCATATATCGTTATTGTCGGTTTCGTTTATTTAAAAACCAAACCTGTTTTCACAGCATGATATAAGCTCTTTGCATTGTAGACAAATGATCTCTGCCCAAACCCTGTCAGTTATGTCGTTGGTATACAAAGTAGTTGTTTCTCAGCAGAAAGGAGGTATTCGTCACCACTCGCATGTTTCCGTAACCTACAAGGCTCGCCCCCCCCCCCCCCCCCCCCCCCCCCTCTCGAAGACCGTCATGCGTCGAAACGGCGCAAGCCAATCAGAATGCGTGTCAGGATATTGGTACTTTGATCAATATAATATAATCAATATAGTCCTTAAAAGAATTTTAGCAATAAGTGTTTGTTTAAAAACTGCAGGAAATTGTAGATTGTCGGTTCCACACCGCATTGTATACGGATAACAGAAATGTGATACATATACTCACCGACGAAAGAAACGCGAATCCCATATAAGTTGGGTAATATATGACGAATTACTCATTTTGAAGAGAATTAGAATGGTTTGATGCACAAACGAACATACTACTATGTTGTGTGAACCGACGCTCATGAACGCATCATATGTGACGTCACAGATCCATGACTCGAGATGCACCATTTGTCTTGTGCAAGATTAGCGTGAAAAGTTTGGAAATCACGTGCAGCATATTGTGATAAGTAGAAAGACGCTCTGTGGTAACACTTGACTGGTTGTTACTTTTGCAGTATACATTGGACACATCTCTTCTTAACGTACTTGCTTCTCTATGTGTTTCTATGGTTCGCGTTTCTTTTGGCGGAGAGTATATATAACTTATATTGTTACTTGAAGCGCTATGTTGGATGATAAATTCAAATGTACACGTGCTTTTGTTTACATTCAGGAAACGGCTCACTTAACTGCGATATCCGTTCATTTGAACTAGGCCTGACTTTCAAGAACGACATTCCGTGTAATATCCCTTTGAAAAATGTGTAAAAGTAATTATCTAATCACCTTTTTCAAAACAAATTATTCACGTACCTATAAAACTCTAATTATGCTATATTGTGTTGCGAGTATTTTGGGCCATTTGCGATTTTTTTTTTAGAATTTCAACTTTCATACTGATTAATAAAATGTATATTGTACAGAAATATTAGAATTTCTCATAGTAGAATATTAACTATCAATAAATATGTCTTTGTCAGACATCGCTCTGGGGTATAAATTGAATGTACTGCAACTTGCACAGACATTCACCAGCAATTGATATTGGAAGCAACGATCAATACGGTCGAGGTGCGATGGTACGCAATCAACTAGGTATCGAGTGTGATCACCCTATCCATTAAGACGCCTCTTACGACAGGCATAGCTACTTGGGAATCCCCACGGGGTTTAAAAACTAACATGGTCTCACTATGCTGTCGATATGTGTTTAGAAATACTTCGCGTCATCTCTAGACATGGTGGATATGGAATTCCGTCATAATTATATTGTAATTAATTCATAGACAATATGCGTACTATTTGTTAACACTGTCCATGAAAGGACAGATTTAGTTCTGAAGTAATGAGTTTTAAAATTGCCCTTTCAAGCTTTGAAAAGACGATTTCAAATTTGCCACATTTAATTGAATATGTCTGAGAAATTCATTGTTACTAATTACTAATGAGTTGAATGGCTTGCCAAATATACTTTTGTTCTAAAGAATATATTAACTTTATATCAGAGAGATTCAATACTTTTACTACAGGACCAAGTGAGCGCTGCTGTATTTAAGGTACGGGAAGAATAAGAGTTATCGTTCTTGCTTGAAGTAGTTTATACGACAATATCGAAACCATTGAGAGGGGTCTACGTTCGGCTTGTCCCGACGAGTTGGTCATGGAATACCTAGGTGGTTGATATACCTGGATAAAGCCATATAAATCAGAAGAGGCTGACTGGTTGTAGCAGTCATATGGTAAGGTCAGGAGATGTAGTTGTGAAAGACGTTGATTTTATTGGGACCAGCCTCAGCAAAAGAAGCTAACGACGCTGTGTAGTCTCTAGATTTGTTATAGTGATGCATATATGCAGGCCACATCTTCAAACTAACATTTTCCATTCAACAAGGGAAGATGCACTTTTATGTAACCACACTACAGTATCTTCGAACCATCCATGACTATAACTCTACATGCATATGCTTGTAAATTCATTTTACCACCAAGCAATGCTATGTCTGGTATTGTACCTAGGGCAACATTAGATAAGGCTCTATGTACCTCCTTTGAATGGTATGTTGCAGTTTCGGTTTATGGTCTAGTATATTGCTAAATAAAGGTGTTAGAATCTACTTTAAAAGGAAGTCTCAACTGTAAAAGTTGTTGCTCCAAAAGAACTTGTCCTTGTTCAAGGTTCTGTGTTGTGCTTTTCGTTCAGCACATCAATGTAGTCGGGCAGGTGGTCCTGCGGTGATTATTACTTTGTGCATGCACTAGGTATTTCAATTCCTTATTTCAGATATGCATGGTACAGGAATGGAACAGAAATTGCGTCAAATCCATTCCAGAAAGTAGATGCTGACACTGGTGCACTGGAATTACCCAGCTTTTCAGGCAGGGAGGCGGGGGACTACCGATGTGGGGCGACAAACAACATCAGCCCAGGGGTATCACCATTAGCCATGTCACCCGCTATCAGCCTGAAAGAAATCAGTGAGTTGAGCACAACAGTGCACAGGGGTCCTGTCGGGAAGATATATATCTTTTATAGATGACCTGTTGTGCAGCATCACTTCATTATTAAACTATTCATTGCCTGGCTGCCCTACGCTGGATAGGTCAGATCATGGTGTATTCTGCTTCTGCATTGTACACCATACATAAGTAGCTACCTGTCACTATTAAGATATTATATATTAGCATTTCACAAAGCCAAAATAACTGACAGTGTCTTTCCTGTTCAAGGTATTTGCTTTGGTGGTTAGGATACGGGTAGAAGTTAATCAACAACAAAAAGGACTAGTTTGAGGAAAGCAACATTGTGGTTAACTAATATTAAACAAAAGGCAAAGCGTATTGATATCGAGATGTTTTTTCACACACAAAAAACAAACAAAAATTTAATTTCTATACACCTGAGTAGAACTACGGGTCGTGAAATTGAAGAACAATAAGCAGTGGAAGAGGATTTTTTGTTAGAACATACGAAAGTACCGGTCCCTATTTAAAAATATCAAACACATCTGTTGTCTGTATATTTAAGGACATGCTACTGGTTGGACTAAAAGCGGCGAAATGGAACTCATCAATGCGTCAGAGGGGGAATACGCCAAACTGGAATGTAATAATGTGACCGCCGGTGACCCCAAACTTCCATTCAGCTGGTTTCTGAAATCATCATCTGATGCTGATCAGTTGCGAGAAAGTAACAGAACCTACATTGACGAGAGAGGTATATATGTCTCGTTCTGTTTCTTCTAAGATAAGGTTACGTGAATTTAACCTCATTAAATCCAGAAATCAATAAGGGTGCCGTATGATCATCTAAAAGGCAAAGTTTTCGATCGGCATGAAATATGGCGGAAGTACATTCGACATTTCAGATGTATTCATTGTTACTGAGCGGTCCTATCATGACCTTGGAAAATACTCTTTTGTAAGAGGTTGCAAATTATCAGAACGTTTGTACTGACTCAACGTCAGCTTTATTTTTGCCAACGTTTCACAAGTGAAAGCAAGGCACTGTATGATGATGTGTTCATTGAAGGTACTCTACATTTCATCTACGTTGAGCCAAGTGACAAGACGAGTGGCAATGATGTGTATAACTGTGCCATCTATAACAGAGTTCAGGACTACATTAAGCTTGGCAATGCCAAGAGACTAACAGTTAAAGAAGTCACTGGTAACGCTTTGTTGCATATCTTTTCAAAGGTCGTAGTGATTCAGGGGTAAGATTTTCCTTAGTAACCTATGTTTGTCGGAAGAGTCAACTTATATTAATCAGGGGGTCAGGCTCGGTGACTTGGTTGAATGTGTGTCATCGTTCCCAAAAGACGTTGATCATGCCATCAACCACTGGTTTGTGTGAACAATACACGATTATTTAAAGGCCGTCGTATTATAGCTGGAGTATTACTGCAAAGAACAACAAACAAAACATCCTTTACCACGACTCATATATGTTGTAGCATCAGAGTTACATAGACATGTAATACTCTAATATAACATCTTGGTTAATTAGAATACATTGTCACTGTGGGTCTGTGGGTTACTTAATTAAGTTATTTTCACGTTTAGTTAGTGGTAATTCATTAACAGATATGAACCAACTTCACATATTATCACCCATGACTTCTGTTCCTCCATCTTGCATGTGTTTTCAAAGTAATGGTATTTTCTTGTCACCTCTCTTTGTCAGGTAAACCAGAAAGGAAGCCTAGGAACCAGTTTAAAACCAACCCTGCGGAATTCCAAATTGGTCATACAGCAGAGCTGGAGTGTGTTTTCAGCGGATAGTGAGTAGCAGTATTTGTCCTGCGTGAATGTTTGCAGTGATCAGAATAAAAGCGACTCGAGGCTTCTTGGTACTGTGGATAGAGTATGTTACTTTTCAAGTTTCCTTTTATATGACTGAAAATTACCAAGTGAAGTGTGTTACTATGCATTCATTATTTCTTAGCTCGTGTTTTACCTTTTCTTTGCAAGGTTATCTTGGAAATACATTATTAAGATGCTCTCATGTCTCTAAAGGCTTCATTTGCTTTGAGGGGCGGTCAGGTAGCCTAGTGGTTGAAGCGTTCGCTCGTCACGCGGAAGACCCGGGTTCGATTCCCGACATGGGTACAATGTGTGAAGCCCTTTTGTGGTGTCCCCCGCCGTGATATTGCTGGAATATTGCTAAAAGCGGCGTAAAACCATACTCACACACTCATTTGCTTTGACATAAAACCGATTTTATGTTTAGATTACAAAGACTGTTTGTCAATGTAAAACCTTATGCCCCATTAGTTAAACAAGTGTATCATTGAGACCCGTCGACATTTTGCCGATGCGACATTACGCTTCTGTTCACTTGTTTGGAGAATCGCTGACATATATTTAGCGACATCGTCGCCCTTAAGAGACAATTCATATATTTTTTTTCATTGAATATCCATTTTTCCAATCACTATTGTTCGTTGTGAAAGAGACCTGTTATATGCATATTGACTAGATGATAGTTGACGGTGCAGCTTTACCTAATCGTGTCAAGGAAAACATGTTTAGGAATTTGCATACATGTCTAAAGAAAACAAAAAGGTTTGAGTGAGCCATGTTAATACAATAATCTATTCCTCGTCTTTCCTTTCTGTCTTTTAATGTGCTAATTATATATAATAACACGTGTAAATCTATGGGACAGGGCGATATAAGTTGTCATAACTTGTGTCCCATTATTTCCGTGTGAATGAAATAGGTATTAACTATCAACTTTTTACATGTACCTTCAAAACAATTGCTATCTTCTGAAAACGAGTGCATCTCCATAATTGTTAATGTATGTGCACAGATGATATGATATTCAACTGTACTTTGGGCCACAAGAACTTCGATTCTGAAATTACCTTATCCAATAATATTATTGAACTTCTATTCTGCATGTCTGTTCTTAGACTGCTCTCAGAACCGCCTCCGCGGTCAAGTGGTAGAGCGTCCGACCGGAGAGCGGAAGGTCCGGGGCTCGATCCCCGGCCGCGTCATACCAAGAGACGTTAAAAGATAGTACTTGTTACTATCCTGTCTGCCCCTCGGCGTTAAGGGGCTAAAACAAGAACTAGTCGGCTCGGAGTCAGTATACTGTGTCACACACACGTGCATGCACGTCGCTATCTAAGTGCAACAATCTTGGACGCGACGTTAAACCCCATTTCACCTCACCTTAACTGATCCCTAAAGGAGATAATAATGCTATCCCTAGCTTAAATCTGGTTTCACCATGGTACTTTTACATAACACGCTGTTGTTCTTTATAAAATGTATCGATGTTTGAAAACCCCAGTGTCGACTCTCCTACCGAGCTTTGGTAGGTAAGGATAAGATATATGGATGAACAAATTCTTTACTACAATTAGGAGCGACGTTTCGGTGTAGGTTCTAACACTGTTATCAAGCAAGAAATATACAGACTAGCTTGACAAGCATACTCGTGACACGTGGTCCTGTGCACAAATCAGGTGAAAGTAAGCCACGTCAGTTGCGGAGAGTCCTTAGATGGGTTACCGCGTTTCGGCAGCTTGGCTCCTGAGGGTTTCCAGGGCTTCGGTCCTGCCCTGAACCGAAGCACATACAACACATGTGGCGTCTCCTTGAACAAATGGCTTTGTTCAAAATGTGCCTCAGTTCACCCAGGAGTGAATGGGTATCCGGTAGGATGAGATGTTTTTAACCTTCTAGCGCCCAACAGGCAGCTTGGGTTGTATACTACTTAGGGAGCTGAGAATGATTCTAGAGTGCATACTGATCCGGGGTAATAATATCGCTTTGAGCATGCCCCTGAGTGGTATGTAAATATGCGCAATCTAAATGGCCTATCACAAGCATATATACAAGGCTGAGTTTATACAGTTGAGTAGATTGGGGGTAGTTACAACAGAGTAGAGAGGCCTGTTATGTACATAATGCGGGTGATACAAGGTACAAACCCTAACAGTCAGTTGTAGAAACAAGCGGATTATACCTGATTGGAGTCTTTGATGAGTTGATTATCATTTTAAGCAGCGGATGTGTTATAGCCTGGATCACGGTTGATTGAAGCCTCTCAAAGAAGTTAGAGTTTAGGCATATGTAATTATAGTGAGTGAGTGAGTTAGTACGGTTTTACGCCGCTTTTAGCAATATTCCAGCAATATCACGGCGGGGGACACCAGAAAAGGGCTTCGAACATTGTACCCATGTCGGGAATCGAACCCCGGTCTTTGGCGTGACGAGCGAACGCTTTAACCACTAGGCTACGCGACCGCCCATATGTAATAAGAACAGCATAACATGCAATCATGACGAGAGTAATAATTCTCATTCCTGGAGATTGCTATAGCATTTTCTATAGCTGATTTCGGTATGCTTTCATGTGATTATTTTCTCTCACTTGATGCCTGTGATGGTTTACACGTGGTACCTTTACACGTGGTAACCACTGGTTAATTAATACATGTTCATTTATCTTTGAAGTCCCCTACCATCGATCCAATGGTTTAACATAAGGAATGAGCCCATCAATCCAGGAGGGAGATACCAAATGGATAAACACAACATGAAACTGAAGATCGTTAAACTAACAGAGAAAGATGAAGGCCTGTACGGATGCAAGGGGGAGAATACTCTTGGTGAAGCTGAGACGACCATCTTTCTTGACGTAAAATGTATTCCTTGTTTTGTTCTTGTTTTTTTCAGTATGACAATCATTATAAAGTTACATATTGCTAATCTATTCTCATTTCTTTCAGTTCTGTCACCTCATTAGCAACATAACAATCACAACATATGCTCATCTTAAGAGTGGCGTAAAAAATGTGACGTCAAGATAGTGAAAAGTACCTTTTGATAAGTGATTGAACGACTTCAACAAATAGACAGTCAAGTTTCAACAAAAATATGGTCAAAGTTGGGCCATGTGTCATACATATGGTGTTTCCAAAGATTTAATATCTCTGATCAGTGAAGTTAATTATCTTAATGTCCTAATTCCTACATACATGAGTGCATTGAATTCAAGATCACATACTTTTAGTGGTGACATGTTGATGGTTTGATGCATGGTTCAATATTGCTGTAGGTGTTTTAGTTTCTTTGAGCTTGCTGGAGTTGAAACATGTTGCAGCTGGTCCTATATGGGAAAAAGCCATCACTAACCTGACCGTACCGGAGGGTAGAGACGCTTCCTTCACCTGCAAGGCCCGACCAGCTATCGACGAGAAAGCCTTGGAACCACCGGTGTGGTACAAGAATTGGGAGAGAATACAAAAACCAACAGGTAAATATCCTATGAAATAACTGTCAATGAACATAAGGTACTATCCACCAAGGCAGTCATTGACAAGGTATAATAATATGTTCATAGTCTGAGTAGAGAGGAAAAGGTGTCATGAAAATATATACAGAAAAAACTAACACGTGACCAATTCATCTAATCAGAATACAGGAATTTCAATGAACACAACGAAAATTTAAATATATAATTCTAAACAAACGATTATTTAAAAACGGCATACAATGATGTATTAAATCATCTTGAAACTACTATGTCGCATCCCATCGCCAGATTATATCTCAGACTGTTTTTTTGTGTCGTATATTCGTCTGACATTAATGAAAAACAAATATTTCATCATAATGTACGAAACATACATGTATGTAGAGGACCTTTTCTAATTCAAAACGTAACAAACATTTCTTCCGCCTGTACGAGTGGCGTCCCCTTTATTCAGTCAGAATGTAGTCCTAAGGGCAAATGCTTTGACGTTACATATGTTATGTTTTGGCCTAACATGCAATTAAATGCACCATAGCCAATAGTATCATAGTATTTCGAAAGTATCAGCTTTAATTTACTTGACAAAATCCGTATCTCCTTTTTTGTTTAACGCCGCACTCAGCAATATTCCAGCTACATGACGGCGGTTTGTAATTAATTGAATCTGGACCAGACCACCCAGGGACTGACATTATGAGCATCGATCTACGCAATTGGGATACGATGCCTGGTCGACCGAACCCGTTAATCGCATCTTACGACAAGCATGGGTTGCTGAAGAACAATTCTATATCGGATCTTCGTAGAATTGAACGTCATGCTTACGTATTGTGTAAGCATAATAGCTGTAGAGGATGAGTTTTGGTTGTGTTTTACTCACACTGACAATGCACAAGAACCTGAAAAGGTACGCTACGACCACCTCATAAACCCTCATGCTGATATCACGACAATGCCTCAGACAACTGACTGTTTGTCCCTGTCGTTCCGCAGGTAATATCATCTTCGGGGACGAAGGTCGAGTCCTGACAGTGACTCAGCCGACAAAACCTGATGACATCATGTGTTTCCAGTGCCAGATCACCAACGACGTCGGCTCCGTGTTTTCCAACGGTTGTCTCAACGTCATCAGTAAGTAGCTCCGTTAACTATTTCAGGGTATCAGGACGTAATAGTAGATGTAAGTTATAAGAATACAATGATTTGTCTCCATAAACGTGTCGATTCCATTTTGTGTGAATTCTGTTTCTATTCATGTGACAGAGTACCATGTATTGAGAATCCCACACGTTTTGATTGGTATACCCTTTTCATAGCCTTGTATGCTGTGTGTCAGGGAACAACGATTTTATTTGGTTCTATTTTTAATATCACATTTCTATTTTCAACTTGTTAGAGTTAGTTCATGATCAGGAGACTACAGTGTGCAACTTTACTACCCTCGACCATAGATGTTTTCAGTCCATACTTTCCTGTAGACGGTTCATTCTTACGCTCTTTGTGCAATACTGGACACACACTGCTGAGATACAAGTACAAAATCTGCTTGTAATAATTGATTATAGTCTCATATCGCCAGCAGTTTATATTTGACAAATGCCTTGTGTCCCATGCAACAAACCCGTATATTGAGTGATTAGCTCACAGACCTAATGCCCACCATTAATACGAACGTAGCCCATTCTGTATTCAGACGTTCAATGTCAGGGACGTATATCTATTTATTACCTACGAGGGCAAACATATCGGGGTTCACGAGACAGCGGTGTATTGTTTCCGTCATTCGAACGCCATTGTTGACGTCATTCGAATCTTATTGGTCGGAATGACGTCACACTATAAACTATGTCATAGCTGAAGATTGCTGACGTCATTCGACAAATTGTAGTTTCGATGCTGTTGCGACTTGCTGTCCTTATAGGTAAACACTTGAATTTGTCTCTGTATGTAGACATCTTCGGCAATAAATAGAACATTATTTTCGCGTTCATGTCATACTATGTTTACGAAACTCGTGCCTAAATTACTGAGATTTAGACACTTGTGTCGCAAACATAATATGACATGAACACTCATATCATATCCTCTATGTATGAAATCATATGTAATCCTACATTCCAGAACCCATCGAAGTGACTACCCAGCCTCTACTTAAACAGGGCATCAAGAAAGGTGATCTGGTGAACCTCACTGTGCGGGGAACCACAGACCCGGGGATGACTCTCAGGTACAGATGGAAATTCAAGAAACACACGTATTACACAGGACTACCGCCACATGTGGTCTACGACGACGTCACAAAACAAACCTACATCAACACTACAAGTCTGAGCGATGAGGAGTACAGACAGATAGAAGGAACCTACACCGGAGTGCTGTACCACGACTTTGAAACCCGCCGTGTAGTTATTGATGTTACCATAGGGCAAGAAACAGGTTTGTACACTTGAAATGAACAATTGGATGTTGTCGCCTTATCTGCTGTGCCAAGCATGTGTCATATGTCTCTCAGATGGATAGTGCGTGGGAGGAAGGGTTCTTATCTCGGCGTGGTGTCCATAGGCCGTGATATGCCTGGAATATTGCTAAAAGCGCCTTAAAAGATAACAACTCACTCACTGGATGTGTTCCCCGAGGTATGTACTTCTGTTGTGTCTGTTGGTTATTGTGCGTTCTGGAGTGGTTTTAGGCCGACGTCTCCAGATATATTCAGTTTTATTATGAATTGCTTGGAAGGTTTCAACGCTGCTTGATGTCACTTTTTGGAGGTTCTTGTAGATGGAAAGAAACTAAGGGACTAAGATGGTGACAAAGCGAAATGTTCTTTTGGCTTCATAAGGCTTCAATGACAGATTAGAGCTATGTACCATATTCAAGTTTGCAGTTCCATACATTACATAATAATGTTGCTATTACGAAACTGTATATTTGGCATTCGGACTGTTCAGATATGTAAATTATTCCTCCTAATGGGTTCTGTTGTATCCACCACGAACCACATCATTGTCCCAGAGCATTAGAATAATTTTGACATCGTCAACCGACTAAACTTATTGATTAACATGATTAATAGTATAACCCTAGCCGTATGCGTTAATCCGTTTTATCATTGCAGCACCGATTGTAGTAGCACCGGCGGCCTTCCCGTTGTGGGTAATCATCCTAGTGGTCCTGTTCGTGGTGCTACTGGTTCTCTTCGTCCTCGCCTTCATCGTCATGTCCAGGAAGAAGGAAGAGGGAGCCTACAAAAGTACATAGTTTTAACCATATTGTAATTCAACAACGCGTTTGTGAGGGGTGCCACCGGTGGGGCAAGATACGCTCACCTTTTGCTTTCAGCAGATCATGAGCTTACCATAAACATGAGAAATAAATTTGTCGGCACACCGAAAACACGGATTCGATCAACCACTTGAGTGCAATGTGTGAAGTCCATTTCTGGTGTCATCCGTCATTTTTCTAGAATATTGCTAAAGGCGGTCGAAAAACGGTCGTAATACCCCACGCGTGTCACTGACTCAATACAATTTACCATGTCTGCTGGTATGAGTATGTAATCACTAACCAATTAAACTGTTGCATATGGGAGTGCTCATACAACATAATATAAGTCAGTCTATAATCGACATGTTGCGTGAACCAGACGAATATGAGGCTTTCAGGTAAAATCGTCGAAGATGGGCGTTATATGTCAATCAAAAGGGAATAAATCCCCACTTAACTTGTCGTTTACAAGTCGTGTATTCTTAACGAAGCCCCCGAGTTTCATCATTTGTCTATGCTGAGTCAACTACAAAGGAAATGTTTGGGCCGAGACTTTAAAACTGCGCCCCACAGGGTTGCAAAAATTAATACATTTCTTTCCGTATCTGGGGTCACGGGTGGCCCAGTCGTCTAAGGCGCCGAATAAAATTTCGCTGCACGGCTGAAACAGGAAAAATCGATTTGCGAAGAAAAATATCAGACTAACGAATAGATATCATGATGCTTTCTTAAACATAAGCGTTCATTTCATCTGTGGTTCAAATATTGTTTAAAATGAAATATCCTATATAACGGACTTAAATGCGAATCTGTAAACCTGGCGAATTAGCACCAAATACGCTTCTATAGTAAAGTGTGATTGTTGGGCGGTAGTAAACACGTGCGCCCAGTGAAATAAAATACAGTTAGGCTAAATAAATATGATTTAGAAATATAAACCTTGAAAAGGTTTAATAAACTAGATGCTGTCCATCGGACATCGTCTAAATGGTTTTAAATTGTTCCAGCCAGCCACAGTAGTCGCACGTAGATACCATGTGGAGAAATTCCTTTACCTCTTCTCAACTAGGCACCAAGACGAACTATGAAACTATGCCTCTATGAACGTGCATATCAGTCGTTGGATTTATTTAAAGATGTGAACAAAACATATAGTATTAAAAACTGTTTCAGTTTACAAGACGGAACTCGATGTGACGTATCTAGATCCGGACGATGATATTCAGAAAGGCAAGTTCCAAGATGTGACCAAAATAGAGTGAGTATAGATACCCAGAACAGAATGCCCATACATACATACTCTGACGAGAGTGAGTTTTGCTACCCAGAATAGGTACAACATCGTCTATAATCACGTCTACACACACACACACACACACACACACACACACACACACACACACACACACACACACACACACACACACACACACACACAAGGTACACATGGACTATTAATGCCACAATAAGCAGTGTAGAGTTATGTGACTTAGTATTGCAAGGATCTGTTGATTGTTGCTTCGAATGACTTAACTTCGCTCTAAATAGGTAGGCTTTTAAGACCTACCAAATCCGATAGGTTGTTTTTCATTAGAAAAATATATCTTGGTGGCATACATGAACTTGAAAAAGAAGATTCTTAAAAGCATTCTCGAATATCAAATACGAAGGTTGCACCTCGATCCCACTGAAATATAAGTACATCATTTCGCACATTTCCGGAACTTATAATTGTAATGTGTGTTGTATTCATTGTGTTAATTCCTGATCCCTGGGACAGAGGGGCTTTCTGAAGATTATGCCTGGGACAGAGGGACTTTCTGTAGAATATCCCTGGGACAGAGGGGCTTTCTGTAGAATATCCCTGGGACAGAGGGACTTTCTGTAGAATATCCCTGGGACAGAGGGACTTTCTGTAGAATATCCCTGGGACAGAGGGGCTTTCTGTAGAATATCCCTGGGACAGAGGGACTTTCTGTAGAATATCCCTGGGACAGAGGGACTTTCTGTAGAATATCCCTGGGACAGAGGGACTTCCTGTAGAATATCCCTGGGACAGAGGGGCTTTCTGTAGAATATCCCTGGGACAGAGGGACTTTCTGTAGAATATCCCTGGGACAGAGGGACTTTCTGTAGAATATCCCTGGGACAGAGGGGCTTTCTGAAGATTATGCCTGGGACAGAGGGACTTTCTGTAGAATATCCCTGGGACAGAGGGGCTTTCTGTAGAATATCCCTGGGACAGAGGGACTTTCTCTAGAATATCCCTCGGACAGAGGGACTTTCTGTAGAATATCCCTGGGACAGAGGGACTTTCTGTAGAATATCCCTGGGACAGAGGGGCTTTCTGAAGATTATGCCTGGGACAGAGGGACTTTCTGTAGAATATCCCTGGGACAGAGGGGCTTTCTGAAGATTATGCCTGGGACAGAGGGACTTTCTGTAGAATATCCCTGGGACAGAGGGGCTTTCTGTAGATTATGCCTGGGACAGAGGGACTTTCTGTAGAATATCCCTGGGACAGAGGGGCTTTCTGAAGATTATGCCTGGGACAGAGGGACTTTCTGTAGAATATCCCTGGGACAGAGGGGCTTTCTGAAGATTATGCCTGGGACAGAGGGGCTTTCTGAAGATTATGCCTGGGACAGAGGGATTTACCTATAGAATATCCCTGGGACAAAGGGACTTTCTGTAGAATATCCCTGGGACAGGTACTTTCTGTAGAATATCCCTGGGACAGAGGGGCTTTCTGTAGAATATCCCTGGGACAGGTACTTTCTGTAGAATATCCCTGGGACAGGTACTTTCTGTAGAATATCCCTGGGACAGAGGGGCTTTCTGAAGATTATGCCTGGGACAGAGGGATTTACCTATAGAATATCCCTGGGACAGGTACTTTCTGTAGAATATCCCTGGGACAGGTACTTTCTGTAGAATATCCCTGGGACAGAGGGGCTTTCTGAAGATTATGCCTGGGACAGAGGGATTTACCTATAGAATATCGCTGGGACAGAGGGACTTTCTGTAGAATATCCCTGGGACAGGTACTTTCTGTAGAATATCCCTGGGACAGAGGGGCTTTCTGTAGAATATCCCTGGGACAGGTACTTTCTGTAGAATATCCCTGGGACAGAGGGACTTTCTGTAGAATATCCCTGGCCATGGGACAGGTACTTTCTGTAGAATATCCCTGGGACAGGTACTTTCTGTAGAATATCCCTGGGACAGAGGGGCTTTCTGAAGATTATGCCTGGGACAGAGGGATTTACCTATAGAATATCCCTGGGACAGAGGGACTTTCTCTAGAATATCCCTGGGACAGGTACTTTCTGTAGAATATCCCTGGGACAGAGGGGCTTTCTGAAGATTATGCCTGGGACAGAGGGATTTACCTATAGAATATCCCTGGGACAGAGGGACTTTCTGTAGAATATCCCTGGGACAGGTACTTTCTGTAGAATATCCCTGGGACAGGTACTTTCTGTAGAATATCCCTGGGACAGAGGGGCTTTCTGAAGATTATGCCTGGGACAGAGGGATTTACCTATAGAATATCCCTGGGACAGAGGGACTTTCTGTAGAATATCCCTCGGACAGAGGGACTTTCTGTAGAATATCCCTGGGACAGGTACTTTCTGTAGAATATCCCTGGGACAGAGGGGCTTTCTGTAGAATATCCCTGGGACAGGTACTTTCTGTAGAATATCCCTGGGACAGAGGGACTTTCTGTAGAATATCCCTGGGACAGGTACTTTCTGTAGAATATCCCTGGGACAGGTACTTTCTGTAGAATATCCCTGGGACAGAGGGGCTTTCTGAAGATTATGCCTGGGACAGAGGGATTTACCTATAGAATATCCCTGGGACAGAGGGACTTTCTGTAGAATATCCCTGGGACAGGTACTTTCTGTAGAATATCCCTGGGACAGAGGGGCTTTCTGAAGATTATGCCTGGGACAGAGGGATTTACCTATAGAATATCCCTGGGACAGAGGGACTTTCTGTAGAATATCCCTGGGACAGGTACTTTCTGTAGAATATCCCTGGGACAGGTACTTTCTGTAGAATATCCCTGGGACAGAGGGGCTTTCTGAAGATTATGCCTGGGACAGAGGGATTTACCTATAGAATATCCCTGGGACAGAGGGACTTTCTGTAGAATATCCCTCGGACAGAGGGACTTTCTGTGGAATATCCCTGGGACAGAGGGACTTTCTGTAGAATATCCCTGGGACAGAGGGGCTTTCTGAAGATTATGCCTGGGACAGAGGGACTTTCTGTAGAATATCCCTGGGACAGAGGGGCTTTCTGAAGATTATGCCTGGGACAGAGGGACTTTCTGTAGAATATCCCTGGGACAGAGGGGCTTTCTGTAGATTATGCCTGGGACAGAGGGACTTTCTGTAGAATATCCCTGGGACAGAGGGGCTTTCTGAAGATTATGCCTGGGACAGAGGGACTTTCTGTAGAATATCCCTGGGACAGAGGGGCTTTCTGAAGATTATGCCTGGGACAGAGGGGCTTTCTGAAGATTATGCCTGGGACAGAGGGATTTACCTATAGAATATCCCTGGGACAGAGGGACTTTCTGTAGAATATCCCTGGGACAGGTACTTTCTGTAGAATATCCCTGGGACAGAGGGGCTTTCTGAAGATTATGCCTGGGACAGAGGGATTTACCTATAGAATATCCCTGGGACAGAGGGACTTTCTGTAGAATATTCCTGGGACAGGTACTTTCTGTAGAATATCCCTGGGACAGGTACTTTCTGTAGAATATCCCTGGGACAGAGGGGCTTTCTGAAGATTATGCCTAGGACAGAGGGATTTACCTATAGAATATCCCTGGGACAGAGGGACTTTCTGTAGAATATCCCTGGGACAGGTACTTTCTGTAGAATATCCCTGGGACAGAGGGGCTTTCTGAAGATTATGCCTGGGACAGAGGGATTTACCTATAGAATATCCCTGTGACAGAGGGACTTTCTCTAGAATATCCCTGTGACAGAGGGACTTTCTGTAGAATATCCCTGGGACAGAGGGACTTTCTGTAGAATATCCCTGGCACAGAGGGACTTTCTGTAGAATATCCCTGGGACAGAGGGACTTTCTGTAGAATATCCCTGGGACAGAGGGACTTTCTGTAGAATATCGCTTGGTAAGAGGGGCTTTCTGTAAAATATCCCTGAGACAGAGGGACTTTCTGTAGAATAACCCTTGGTAAGAGGGACTTTCTGTAGAATATCCCTTGGACAGGTACTTTCTGTAGAATATCCCTGGGACAGAGGGGCTTTCTGAAGATTATGCCTGGGACAGAGGGACTTTCTGTAGAATATCCCTCGGACAGAGGGACTTTCTCTAGAATATCCCTGGGACAGAGAGACTTTCTCTAGAATATCCCTGGGACAGAGGGACTTTCTGTAGAATATCCCTTGGTAAGAGGGACTTTCTGTAGAATATCGCTTGGTAAGAGGGGCTTTCTGTAAAATATCCCTGAGACAGAGGGACTTTCTGTAGAATATCCCTTGGTAAGAGGGACTTTCTGTAGAATATCCCTGGGACAGAGGGACTTTCTGTAGAACATCGCTTGGTAAGAGGGGCTTTCTGTAGAATATCCCTTGGTAAGAGGGACTTTCTGTAGAATATCCCTGGGACAGAGGGACTTTCTGTAGAATATCCCTGGGACAGAGGGACTTTCTGTAGAATATTGCTTGGTAAGAGGGGCTTTCTGTAGAATATCCCTGGGACAGAGGGGCTTTCTGTAGAATATCCCTGGGACAGAGGGGCTTTGTGTAGAATATCCCTGGGACAGAGGGACTTTCTGTAGAATATTGCTTGGTAAGAGGGGCTTTGTGTAGAATATCCCTGGGACAGAGGGACTTTCTGGAGAATATCCCTTGGTAAGAGGGGCTTTCTGTAGAATATCCCTGGGACAGAGGGGCTTTCTGTAGAATATCCCTGGGACAGAGGGACTTTCTGTAGAATATCCCTCGTTAAGTCGACTTTCTGTAGAATATCCCTGGGACAGAGGGACTTTCTCTAGAATATCCCTGGGACAGAGTGATATTCTGCAGAATATCTCTGGGACAGAGGGACTTTCTGTAGCATTTCCCTGGGACAGAGGGACTTTCTGTAGAATATCCCTGGGACAGAGGGACTTTCTGTAGAATATCCCTCGTTAAGTCGACTTTCTGTAGAATATCCCTGGGACAGAGGGACTTTCTCTAGAATATCCCTGGGACAGAGTGATATTCTGCAGAATATCCCTGGGACGGAGGGACATTCTGTAGAATATCCCTCGGCAAGTCGACTTTCTGTAGAATATCCCTGGGACAGAGGGACTTTCTCTAGAATATCCCTGGGACAGAGTGATATTCTGTAGAATATCCCTGGGACAGAAGGACTATCTGTAGAATATCTCTGGGACAGAGGGACTTTCTGTAGCATTTCCCTGGGACAGGGACTTTCTGTAGAATATCCCTTGGTAGAAGGGACTATCTGTAGAATATCCCTGGGACAGAGTGATATTCTGTAGAACGTCCCTGCTAAGAACATTGTATGACGTTACAAGAGATTATTCGAAGATATAAAATCTTCAAATGACACTGAGATGACGTCACTTGAATGTAATAACAGGCGTTTAAAATGTGCTGTTTTGTTTTTCAGGTACACCGAGCTGTATGACGGAAAGAATGATGCAGGTCCTTAGAAGGTCATGGGGTCTACACAAACTTTCAGCTTGTAAATCATGTACACCTGACTGGTGATACATGAAACAAATGTACCATGATGGGTTTCGGAAACATATTGTGTGACATTCAGGTGTATAGTTAACCGATCATAAAACATATTCGAACATTTGCCTCCCCCGATGATAACCCATATAGTACCATGGAATGCAAGTTGATATCCACGTGTAGGGTTATTGAATTCGTCGCTATTACTGTTCGAAGATATGCTTTTTTATGCTAATTTACTGTTTTTATTTTGATTTTTTTTTTTAAATTGTTATGGTGTTAGACTATCATAGTCATTATATGTATCATAATTGTATATACTTCACATGGTTATGCTACGCAGGTCAACTGATTGTCACATTACGCGAAAATTTTCCCATTGTGAATTTCCGCTTCATGTCGAGAAATGAAGCTTTTTAACCATCACGGCCAGTTTATGGCGCCGACATTCCCTAGTTGCTTGTGTACTTATTATGTACATATTCAAAATTCATAGAAAGACACATTTTACTTACAATTACACTTTCAATCAACGTTTCACCATCAAGGCGTGGAGCATTGCTCATATGCATGATACCATTGGATTGTCTGGTCCAGACGCTGGTGTTGGCATGCCGCCGCCGTATGTCAGGGGTATTGCTGGGTGCGGCGTTATTTATCAAACAAGCCCAAATTTGTTAATGAAAAAGTGTGATTGGCGGATGCTACCGGTAGAGCAGGACTTGCTTACTCTTTTCGCAGACACCGTGACCTATTCATATTTCATCACTATTTTGCCTTTGAAGCCCAGTGGAATCTGCTTCGCCAAGAAATCGAGAGTGCTTACTTTTTTGTTTTGACGTTTTGAATTTTATTAGGACGTACTTGTATGACGATATTTCTTCATTTATATATTATTGTTGATTTCTTTGCTAATTCACAAATCTATGTTTCTTGTTTTATTTTAATTGTATGATTTATATTCCAGTTGCAACATTTCCATAATATGTGGTTTCTTCCTTCTTCAATAAAATAAATGTTGCTAAATTTCGATTATTTAGTACTTTTCATCACTGATAATTACTGGCGACTGGAGCAAGAATTTCATATTGGCTCAATTTAATGTTACTTTCTGGAAACGAAGAGATAACAGCTAAACTAGGGAAGCATAGCCATATTTGGGCAGATCAAGGGTTGCTTCTGGAATGTGAGAGTAGTGAAAAATACCCAGTGGATTTTAACCTGACACATTTCCTGTTTATACTCATGAAAGCGACCGTGAAGGTTACAAATATAGCCGTCAAATGGACGCGCTTGTTGGACAAAGTTAGCGAGATACATCTGGTAACGTTACAACTTTGTCAAAACAAAGCTTATTCAATCTTCAAACATACTAAATATAGGCAATGTGTATATAGTAATTTCTGCCTCTTCAAATTTAAATAATATAATCGTTTGTCCTCACCTTATACATATATCCTCTTAAGAGATTGAAAACATAACATGACAAATTAGTTCAGCTTAGCGTTTATAGGAGTAACCGCAGCAATAATCTTAACCATAAAACATCAAGCCACATATATTAGCCATTGTTTATCATTAAAGGTATGGGAAATATATTCCCCCACGGAAGCAGGAACCCTGCGGATGGTACCTTGTGGAATGACAGCCCACGCTTTCCGAAGAGCATGACGTAAATGTTGCAGATTCTGAGGCAATGGTTGACGTTGACGTAAACAGTTGTCACGCTCATCCCACAGATGCTTAAGTGGGTTCAACTTCGGTGACCCTGACGGCAGTATGTTAATGTTCTGAGCTCTCGGGAAATCAGTACAGACTTGGGATGTGTGGGGCGAACAGTGTCATGCTGAAACAGGGTGCTTGATGCTTGCAGAGTCTGGACAAAGTAAGGACGCACGATCTTGCCACGATAACACTGTGCTGTCCTTACTGTCCTTGGTCAGAGAAAAAGTCTTCAGCTTGCCGTAAGAGGGACCAACGGGGTAGGGAGGGTAGGCTCGCTGACTTGGTTGATGCAGGTCATCTTATCCCAATTGCGTAGATCTATGCTCATGATGTCGATCACTGGATTGTCTGGTCCGTACTCGATTATTTAAAAAAACGCCGTCGTATAGCTGGAATATTTTCGAGTACGGAGTTAAACAACAAACAATAAGAAGCCAAGCACTATATGTGATTAGGTGTCCGGAATAAAACTGCTGACGTAACCGGAATTCATCTGTCCATACACTGATGCAGGTCTTCACAGAGGCCGGCTGTTGTCATCTATATTAAAAGGTTATACTTGTCACCCTGCCTGACGTTCGGCATTGCAAGGGATAAAACAAGTATCTGAATGGGAGATCCGTGTTAAACTGCTGCCTCATCGGGCTAGCACCACAAAACCTCCCAGTCCAGACTAGTACAAGCAGCAACACATACACGTGGCAGTACGTCGCTACACACACACACGCGCACGCACGCACGCACGCACGCACGCACGCACGCACGCACACACACACAGGCACACGCACGCACGCACGCACGCGTCGCCATATTGATGTAATAATCTTGAACGCTACGTTAAACCCATTTCACGTCACTCGCAGAAGGAACTATCTTCCCCTTTACATCCTGTTTCAACCTTTACCCGTGTCAACCTTTACAATAATCGATGTTTTGACGTTTTGTGTAACTATGCCGGTGTTCGTGTTCAACTCACTTCGAGAAAGGTGATGATGTCACAATAGCACGGAGCACATGCGGAAACTATGTCACGAGCGAGAAATGATTCAACTGACATGCTAACCCAATAAGGAAATAAGCCATACAATTTCAAAGCTTTCATCTTCCTCAAACAAAGAGAAACAAATTGCCATACACTGTATCTGCATGCTGAAAAGTGTAGTTCCCGTTTAGTAAATATACAGTTCTAACATGGGCTAGATTGTGAAATAGCCAGCTTACCGCGATATTCACAGGCACAGTTTCAGTGAAAATAACAGCAAATAACATTTGGTGTGTGACATTAGAGCTAAAACAGTATGGCAATACAGTGAATACAACTGTTGTTGTAGATGCTCCAACACGATTTGACTCATTTTCAGTGCAACCTGACATACTTTCTATGTGTATTTATAGAGAGAAACCCCGTTAGTAAGGACCCTGTCCGTCATGATCATGTCCGTAATATGAACGTACATCGAGTTTAAAATACATTTACACGGACATTTAACCCGGTTGTTTTAAGCTAAAGAGACTGCATTTGAATAGAAATGTGGTTGGATGCGAGGATCCGGTGAAGAACATTCCTTGATAGCTTTCACTGTCAAGTATCCCTTGTTCAATGAAAACTCTGTAAAAGCTTTACAGAAGGTGCCAATCACCAATCAGTGTAATCAACATCAACTGACGATAGCAGAAGTATCACAGCATGAAACGTTTCCTAACCAATGCAGATGTTGTACGGAGACCAGGTGAATGTCGACTGTGATTCATAATGCAGCGAAATCCATTTGTATGGAAGGCAAGGCCCGTCCTTATCATAGCAAGGTTATGAATAAGCCCCTGGAGAACGAAACAAGGCATCGGATTTGTCCTGGAGTAATAGAAGAACGATCTTCCATATGTGACAATAAATCATATTGGAACAAAGTGGACGCATGAGGATATGAGTTTATTCCGGGGAGTACACTATGGACCCATTCGCGTTAATGGCCTGCGACAAAGAAAAATTTATCAAATTATATAACTTAAGAAAGGATATGTCCAAAAGACAAAAGATCTATCATTATAGGGCTAGTACACTTGTTTGTCTAATGACTTAGAAGTACATTTGATCATAAGGAGAGACCACTAAAAAGGATAAAGTATTATGTATTATGTTGATTTAAGATTTCATAGAAGTGGCTTTGACTGTCTAGTCTTCCTTTTTCATAATCTAGATTGGTTTTGGTTTCATAAAATACATATATTCAATAATACATAATAGTATATACTGGCTATAATTGTCTATGCATGTCCAGCTTCATCGTCTAATTGATACCCACCACCTGAAGTTTAATCGAATGATCCAAAAAACAGTGATTCAGTACGTCATGTAGTCATGTATTATGTTATTTTGTTATAGTGACGCATATGTGCAGCCCGAAAATTCGAGCTCAGATTCTCCATTTGTGGGATGACTGAATCAGGGAAGTAAAACAACACGACTGTATGTTCGAACCCAGGAATATGGGACGGTAGTAAACAAGTGCGCCTAGCACAGTAAAATGTCCAAGAGTCAGGTAATGTCGGTTCACGGTTGTCATGCAGTGTCTGAGTGTGAGGAAACGTAGGTCCACTGTGCGCATTTAGCGTCAGAGTTTGAAGCTGTGTTGGTCCACCGTAGCCATCTAGTGTCCGAATGGGTGGTTAATTTGGTCAACTGCAGGGTCAGAGCTTGTACTACATTCTTGTTCACGGGGACATAATAGCTCGCAAATAAGCCTTTTGTTACACCTCTTTCCGCGGATATAGATACCAGCTGAAGTTGGAATATAGCTTCATGGGACAAAACAACGCTTCCATTACATATATTTCTTGGGAAGCACAAAACGAGCCTGAATAATTACACTAAACCGATATACACCTCAATATGGCAGCTACTTTCAAGGACACGTTGTGTTGTCCTGGCAGAAACTGATCCAACGCCTCACTCACTATATGGAGTTAAGCCATCGCCCATCTCTTCAAAAACTGTCAAGGACGTCATTCTCACGCAATTGGGATTTCTCTTTATATGCAGACCTTTATAGTGATATTGTATGGCGGTATGTTATAAAGTTTAGGAGGAAGGTAAATATGATAAATGAGACAAAGAGGCTTGTGGATGAAAATCGGGCGCGGTGTGGATGTCGCCGACACATAGTTGTGTCCCTCCGCCGTGGCAAGGCAGACGGGCAGAGCTATTGTAACTTTGTACTTTGTACTCCCGCGGAAACAGCAGGCAGGAAGATTTGGACTGCCGCTGTAGGTTCTACTACACCAAATCAGAACCAGTTTGGACAGCCTTCAGTGCAGATCGAGTGATATCTGCAGGCTGTGATTGGAGGATATTCTGTAAGATTTTTATGTCTTTCAAATGTGCATCCATCCAGTTATTAAAACTGACCATGTTTTTCTATATTTAGTACTGTCTTTTTCAACATGATGACAGCTATTGTCAAGTAGGTGACATTTGGTGCGAAACTGGGGGTGGTGTGTTTAGCTTCCTGTACTCGGAAAAGGAGCTGGCTAAGCTAGTCATTTTTCTTTTCTATTGCTGCCCTAAGGCCAAACTGTGCACACGCGTACAGGTAATAGCTGTTGAATGCTTAGTTATTTTTTTTTAAAATATAACGTTACTATAGAAGTCTATGGGAAAACATTTGGTTGTGTGTAACCTGTAGAAGCAGCAGCCTAGAACCAAGCGTTGTTTTTTTTTATAAATGTGCTTTCACGCCTGCATCATGCCCATCGCACCTAGTTTATTGGATGAACAGTGATATATACAAGAACAATTGTACAAAATATGACTTATGTTGCTTGAGATGTTGCTGACGTGGAAGGACGGAAGTGACGTAATTGCCGGTTGCTGATGAACACGGAAGTAAATGGGGGATTACATGTGCAAGGTCAATTCTGCCTGTTATATCACACGGAAAGTAGAAGTGCTTATAGAGTGAGTAAATGATGGGATGACAAAAATGCTGCCTATAAACCCATTTAGCGAATTACTGCTAAATGTTATTAATCTTTAGTATATTTTGTAGCCATTTGCAATAAAACAAAGCGTCCTTGGGGGTATTCCTTAGACCCCACATACTTCGAATATAGACCTTTGAGCTGAGGTAGAGGTACATGTGTACTATGGATCGTCAAAACTAGAGTAAGAAATAGGAACATGTCCAACGTGGTACGATATAATTTTGGCTTTTTCTGGAATGTTACTGAAACGGCGTAAATCCCTGTACGCTCCCTCACTCTATATGATGCTGTATTATGCTGCTTACACTAAGTCGTACCGCGGTCTGGTTATTGTATCCCACATCTCCCCGATGATGCTCTTTGGTTTCTCATCTTACGTTCTAATTATTTCCCCAAAAGGATCAGTTCTTCATCATATAAAACATCCACGCCGTCATATCACTCTGAAAAAGTGTCCAAAGTGTGTCACTCACTCACTCACTCACTCACTCTTGGCAATACGTATATTTACATCGTTGCTTAAACATTTTTAGGGATATCTACCCATAGGCAAATACATGGGAAAAAAGAATATCCTTGACAGCTGAGGCTCAGTTTAGGTCGCCATCGTAACGTTTAAGTATGCAATAAAATCGTATAGAGTATCGTGTATCTGGTTGTCAAAGCAAACATGTATAACATATCAAATAGTTTAAAATTATGAGTAACCTTCCGCATTCTGCTAAGACAGCTTTATTTGATGACCGGTCGTAAACAGTTAGCTCATGAAGTCCCTTTGTCAACTTTGTTTGTTACCAACACGCTTTCAACGACAGCAGGAAATATTTGAAGTATAAATGCACTTCGCACTTTGGTATGATGACACATCAAGCATGCAGGGACGACTGTATCTATCATAATAACTGGGTGCCAGACGCACAGATATTAGTATAACATGATGCATGTATAGGAGAAAATCCTACCCAGAACCCAACCGTCTATACAGGTAAGATACCTCCGTTACTTCTATATAGCCGATAGACATAACCTACTGTCATCTTTACCACTTTACATAAATAGTTTATATTACCCTATGTGGGAGTGAGTTTGGTCAGGGGCCATGCTGAACTGTATTTCAGTTATCGTGTCAACTTGATGGTGGAGGGGGGAAACACAAACTGAAGCAGGTCCTGGCTGTTTACCTCTTTTCTGAAACCCAGGTGCATGGGTATCACACTGATATTCGAACTGACGAACATAGGATTCTGGGACGTCTAAGGGGCACAACTCTGCAAGTCATCGGCCCACCGTGTGACACAACGCAGATATCGCAAGTGATGTTATTCATATAAAAGTTCTATAATCGTAAAACAAAATGTCAAAACCAGAGATTATCAGTCTCCATAATCTGTCGAAACAAATTCCACTGGGCGTAAAATGCTAAATAGTGGGGGAAATTATATGAATGGATCACAGAAAGTCAGTGATGGCACAACAAGGGACTTCGGGCCGACCCATCAGAAAGGTTTGCAAATGATTTAAAGTGCACTTCTAAATCTCCAATTGGTAATAATTAAAAAAAATAATAGTAAAAATCGTACTAAAAAAAGTAAATCCTATGTCGCACATTTGGAGATTTTTCTAACGGGTCGACTCGCAGCCCCAGTAGTGACATGTAGAAGAACTGATGTAAAACAATGGGATGAGGGGATCCGCTTACGGCTTTTATACTCAACCATTGTCACTGTTAAAGACAGAGCACCTGAAACTATGATAGTGAAGCTGGTAACCTGCCATGTGAAGCAATGACGCGGTCTAGGGATTATATTGAACATAGGAATACGCCTCAACAGGAAAACGAAAGCTGCGCCACATATGATCGCCACTGCTTACTGAGCTGGAATGGACCATGCCATGAAACTTCGTTTTCCATAGCAGTTTTGTGTCCACAAAGATATATGAACCCAATATGCGTGTATTTCACATCATAATCGGTAACGTTACACCTACATCACAGTGTTCTTTCAAGGTCAAGCCTGGAACAGACTAAGTAGAGATCGACAGTGTGGAAAGCGATTCATGACGCCGGTGTACAATGACACACAATGAGGCGAGTGAGCTGTGTTGACTACGTCACGGACATGCTTCCCAGCCTAGCTCTCTCTTCAAACCTTGAGCTGTAGCTTGGACATCATCAAAGAACTTACCCTCTATCGTTTACAAGAACACCAAGGTTCGGACCTGTTCAAAATGTTTCCCGTGTTTATTTGGTGGTAAGACTTTTAGTCAAGAAGAAGTCATTCACATAGGCACCAATTGTGTTCCCCTTCTTGCGGATCTGATTCTTTGCGAAACAAGGTTCTGGTATATCGATGATCTGATGTCGTTCAATAACAATCAAATAGCAAATTCACTGATTTTCCCACTGTGAACTAAAAAAAGGGAGACCAGTGAGACCGCCTCATCTGCTTCATATTTAGATCTAGGATTCAGTGACAAAACACTCTCCACAAGACAGTGTGACATGGGGGATGACGTCAACTTTCCAATAGACAACTTTATTTTATGTCGAGCGATATTCTAGCAGCTCCAGCCTTTGCTGTTTACATTTCACAACCTTTTAGATACAATCGAGCATGCTCTTTCTGCCATGATTTCAAAGAACGTCATGTGACGCTTGCTCGGAAATTGTTTGATCAAGGTTATAACATTCAAAGCCTCAGTAAAGCTTTCAAAAAGTTTAATGGTAGACATGTGGAGGACATTTCCAAATTTTACGCATCAGTGACAAAACTGATGTCCAATGCATTTCCCTTTTTTTACTTGTACCATATGTTCCCGTGTTTCTTCATTACTATTTATCATTACTATTTATCATTACTATTTATCATTACTATTTATCATTACTATTTGATAGTGATTCATGAACACATTCTTATGATATGCTCGGAATCGTACAATCGAGATTTCTATTGGATACGCTTACCTTTTCGCGAACACCTGGTATCATCACTATTTGATAGTGATTCATAAACACATGCTCATGATATAGTCGGAATTGTACAATCGACTCAGCTTTATGCAGAGATTTCTATTGGATATTGAAAGGGTTTTATTGCTTATGTACATAACTTACACTTTGTAGCCGAGTTATTTATCTGTCTCTTTACGTCAAACACTCAAACGTTTACATAGATCACATACATACATACATACATACATACATACATACATACATACATACATACATACATACATACATACATACATACATACATACATACATACATACATACATACATACATACATTGTTACATTGTTACATGACATATAATTCCATTATTTCCTGAGGATTGTCTAATAACATGGCATATACTCATATACTAGTATTCAAAACTGCCGTTTCCTTATGTAATACGGAAATCCTTTCATTTACGCCAAATGTTATTGAAATTAACCTGTTACGGAAATTAGTCAAGCCCGTTCATTCAAGATATTCCGGTTTCCCAGCGATTACTGTGGGAACACTTGCATCAATACAAATATACATCACTCCATACCCCTGTTTCATTGACCCGGAGGTATCTTTATTAGGACGGTTTCCTTTCACATTCGGGGCAATTACAAACAGAATTTGCCATTGGTAGTAGGCACCTCTCTTAAACTAGTGGGGGGTTCTGATATATGATATATGAACGAAGACAGTTCATGGTTATGCTTGTAAACGTTTGTGGGGCGTAAAACTATCAACTCCATGTGGTATGAGGAGGACGTTGGAGATAAATATTTGTTTCAATTGTTGGACATGCCCTCTACTCACTATCCGAGGAAATTGTAATATATCATTACAGGACTCTGAGAGGGTAAAATAAACTGGGTTAAAAATAGATGTTGATTTCATCACTAGAGAGGCGTGTGATATAGTGAACCACCTTCTGTCCAGGATGCTACCTACTATTCCTACACAATGGCCCAGCAACAGCAAGCACATAACTGAAGATTTAGTGTAGTACAGTGCCTCTATATTTCTATATGTGTATGTCACTTTTAAACAAAAACAATTTCGGTCGGAAAATAAATACAGGATTAGATCCCAACACGGTATCACATATGGCAATGTATAGTACGCGGTCGTTAACGTTTTTCATGTGTATATACAGTAAACTACGGTTATAACGAACTCAAAGGGACTACTAATTTTAGTTCGTTATAACCGTAATTCGTTCCGTAAATTAACCGTAATAAGCATATATACACCATAACTACATCAAACAGTCGGGACTAAAAAGTTAGTTCGTTATATCCGTCAGTTCGTTATAAACGTGTTCGTTATAACCGTAGTTTACTGTATTAACTGTTTTCATTCAAATGTATTGGTGAAGGCCACTGGCACATTCATGTATGCATTGTGCGTTATCGGGAAAACACTGTAATGTTTTGTCTACAACCATTTTTAGCATCTCAATTTGCTATCTGTATTTAAATATTACAAATAAGACAATTGCTTTATGTTAAGATGCATATATGTAACTGCTTAGCAACAACTATAACGTATGTCTTAATAATGTTTGTTACTCAAGTTTCACTTCTATGTACTGTTTACAGACTGCCTGTGTGGGACACTGTCCTTGGCGGGGCTAAGAGTAACAATGACACCCGTCTTCTCCCTCGTCTGTTTGCTGGCCGCAGTATCCAGTGTCACGTCTCAGAGTAAGATATGTTTAACATTTTTGTAATTAATGTAATGTGTCTGGTACCGGATCGTAAAACCCAGTTCGTCACGGTACAGTGATCCTAGCGCCTCCCTTCTCGTGCTCATTAAGCTGTCGCTAGCGAATTTGTTGTCTGTATATTTTATTCTCTTGCATTTGTTTTTTGTTTTCTTATCATATGTGTGTCGATTTGACATATGTCGTTATCTCATATGTGTATGCAAGCTTCTTCATGTATTGAAAGTGTTTACGTAACGTTGATTTACATGCCGTAGTGTGATGGTAACCTCCCAAAACCCCTACACCCCATTTCCCCTACAGCTTAAGACAACAAAGTTCACGGTCCATGGCACTGCTAATCCCTAGTCTGTTACCTAGAACACAGTTGATATTTCTCATATATTTGTAGTCATTTTTCCCACCTTACTCATTGTACATATCTGGTTGTAAATGTTTAATGGTACCTGTGGCACTTTATTTTCGTACCTGCATGTCCAAAATCGGTTTAGTAGGTTGTGTGCTATTTGTTTTATCCATATTTTAGAAAGCACGGTTCGATTCAGTTCCGGGAGCGAACAGTTTTCCCTGCTAGCTAGGGGTGGTTGTCTTCACCGAGGTCCGCACGTCTCGTTAAAGAACCTCGGCGCTATCGAGTGTAATGATCATCATGAATCGCCAGACCTTGACGGACCGTTCTGTTACTGGGTGGTCAGGTTGAATCTTAGTTTCGCCAGTACGTTATTGTGGGGCAGTTTTTATCTTTTACTGACTTGCGACTGGTGTTACTGTGCTAAACGTATTGGCTAGGGTATTATATTTTATAACAACCTTTTTCTCTAAGAAAGAGAATATATAGATGTCAACTTATTCATTATGAGGAACACAACGTTTCGGAGTATATGCTTACTCCTTCATCGGCATATAAATGTATGTTTACAACAGCAATGAGTAAAGAACTATACTCACTTCCTGACAATTATAACAAATACACCTACAATAGTTTCTACTGCCACTGATATTACTTAAGACAAAAGGGATGACTTCATTATCTAATAGTCAACTTTCCCTTATGTCGAGCTATATTCCAGTAGCGCCAGCCTTTGGTGTTTACATTTCACAACTTTTGAGATACAATCGAGCATGCTCTTTCTACGAAAATTTCAAAAAGCGCCATACGATGTTTGATTTAGGTTAGAACATTCAAGGCCTCAGTAAAGCTTTCGAAAGGTTTATGGTAGATATTTCCAAATTTCACTCATCAGTGACAAAAATGATGTCAAATGCAATTCCTTATTTTGACTTGTACCATATGTTCCCGTATTTTTTCATTTGAACAATTGACATGCCTTTGCATGTGTTTGTGACGAATACCACCGTAGGGAAAGGGTACGCTCAACTTTTCGCGAACACCTGGTATCATTACTATTTGATAGTGCTTCATGAACACATTCCCATGCTATAGTCGGAATCGTACAATCGAGATTTCTATTGGATGTGGAAAGGCCTTTTTCGCTTTATTTACAGATCATGGTAGCTGTAGGCAGACATACATGTTACACAATAGTTATACAGGCATATGAAGACATGCAGAGAGGGGTATACAAACGTACATACACAGGTAGATTTCAAGTTGAAAACAGACACATGGGTGTAGACAAACATACATGTGTAGACAGACATACATGAATCGGGATTCGAACCCACAGTCATGGGTTTTGGGCGTGCCCAAGGGACGCAACTCTGCACAGCGAATCGCGGCGCCTTAGACGACTTGGCCACCCGTGCCCCCTTACATACATACATACATACATACATACATACATACATACATACATACATACATACATACATACATGACTAGCGTTGAAGGTTTCAGCTTAGTTACCATGATGTTACCATCATTGTGAAATGTGGAAAACCCCTCGTCAATTCAATGGGCACATATAATTCCATTATTTCCTGAGGATTATCTAATTACATGGCATATCCTCATATACTAGTATTCTTTAGGGGCGGTCGGGTAGCCTAGTGGTTAAAGCGTTCGCTCGTCACGCCGAAGACCCGGGTTCGATTCCCGACATGGGTACAATGTGTGAAGCCCATTTCTGGTGTCCCCCCGCCGTGATATTGCTGGAATATTGCTAAAAGCGGCGTTAAACTATTCTCACTCACTCACTCGCTCACTCACTCACTCACTAGTATTCTTTGAAATACGGATAATCCTTTCATTCCCGCCAAATTCATCTGTATATTATTTTACCTCTCTTCATTATTATATTTACTATTTTCATAGGAATACCACCATACATAACTAAACCGGACGCCCAGACGAAGGATTACATCAAACACAAATCGGAGGTTGTTCTCCCCTGCACGGCAGAGGGAAACCCCAGACCCACGTGAGCAAAATAACCCTTATCACAGGCTATGGCTTGTAAGAGATAACAAGAGAGCTATCACGTTAAATAATCTTGCATTGAAACAACGGTTGTTAAAAATGTATTGTGATATGACCTCTAAATCCGTTCTATTTACAGATACAAATGGTACTTCAAAAGAGACGAGGTTAAATCGACAAACGAGTATATAAAAGTAGACAGCACTAACGGCACCCTGACTATACCCAGCTTCACAGACAGAGAGGAGGGGGAGTATCAGTGTGCAGTGGAGAATAATGTTGGTTCGGAAGTGAACCCGTTAGCCATGTCACCCGTTACAACCCTAACACAAATCGGTGAGTTATTCCCCTTTGATTGTGTAGTGCATTACCTGCAACTTTGATGCCTTCGACTTTAGGTATGTTTGAACGTACCAAAACTAAACTATAACATCCTATTGAACCTTCTGAACTGAAGGCTTTATACCAGTGATTTGGAATATAATGTAATATCATAGCATTTATTGTGAGATTCATGGGGCTATAAAGGTATGGCAGGGGAAACTCATTTATCCGTTTTTTTGGAACTGACTGTTGTACAGAATAAATAGCGACCAAAAGCAGAACCCTGGGGAACTCCACATTATAGTAGGACAATTTAATGTTTGTTTACTGACAATTACTGACTAATTTCTCTTATCAGGATGAAAAAATAATGTTTCAGCTTTTAGTTAATTACATATTCAGTGCAGCATATTGGTCAACTGCATCAATAGCAAGTTCATAGTGGGAACAGTTGGATGCAGTCTAAGTATGCCTGTCTGTAAACAGGTTTATCGTTTAAACTTTCGTGAGAGAAGTTAGGCTTTTATTGATGCTGTTTTTTAATCAGAGCGTTTACAAATACAGTGAGAGGCCTCACTGGTCCAAATGTGAAGTCACACGTCCAAGGATGTGTATGGTTCTGTTAATTCTGTCAGTGCATAGTCATAAGCCCAACTTTTTCCACGAATTTGTTTATTGTGTCAGCGTAGAGTCACGTGTATATTTTCTGTGACTGATTATGGCTGTATTCATTCTGTGGCTGTGTAGTCACCCATCACAGGTTTTGTAAAGAGTTGTATATACCATCAGTATATGTTCAAGGCTATCTATGGTGAAACAATGTGAAATAAATTGTCAATGCAGAATAATAACCACTCCAATAGAATAATTCATCAATTTGTTAAAGGCTGAATTGACATCGAAAGTCAAGATGACCCATATTGGTTTCCCGTTAAGAGACACAATGGTCATACTGAACTTGTATCATTTGTTCAAACATACAAACTGACCAATATATGCGATAAACACCATTAACTCATATACGGGTTCTAGTTGTTCAGTTTAGTGTTTGGAAATACTTCTCTTCTTTCTTGATAAACATGATATTTGACGCTGCCCAGTTACGTGTCGCCCTCTCATCGAACCCCTTAATCGTAACCCTTCCATATTCACATAATGATCAGTTTTCAGGACACCGGTGTAACGTGATTTATTTTTTAAAATTATTTTACTTTAACACTTTTAACTTAATTATAAGACATCACGAGGAAGCATAGTTACACAGTGCTATTAACCCTTTCAACTTAATTATAGCATCATTAGAGCATCATTAGAAAACATATATTTTCAATGCCTGTTAAAACAACAGTGCAGCCACGGTATATCTTCAAAGCCGAAGATATTATTCATGAGTTATGTATTTTCTGAAATTCACAATATGACATATAAGCTGTATTACTTTTGAAAATATTTTGATTTTCGACTCTTGAACATCTGTATCCCTACCTTCTTGGGTTTACACCTTTCAATACACTGGAATAGTCCACAATTACAATTGGGAGATCTGTTAAATAATAACAATACACAAAACAATCCTATGGTAATGATATAAAGGTCCTTCTCATCATTTAATATCGCCTGTGTTTGACATCATCATACTGGTGCTGTTTCTAGTTCTAGAAAGTTGGTCTGGCAGCGGCGTCCCACCTACACCCATAATCAAGTCGGAGGGGCAATATGCCAGCCTCGAGTGTGGGGATGTTCCAGAGAGCGTTCCTCCAGCACGCTTCACGTGGTTCCGACAAAGAACAGATGGCACCCAGGAACAAGTTAAAGAAAGCAAAAGAATCTATATTGACGATAAAGGTATCACTGCATTCTGCTGATTCTTGATGTATGTTGTTGTTATCATGTAGACTTGGGGGTAATTTGTAGTGTAGTGTAGTGTGATTACAGCAATAGTTCGGATATGTTTGTGTTTGTTTGGGAAGAAGGCCCAATGGGACTTTGTTCGTACAACTTTGATGAAACCCACAAGCACGTGCATGGTGCAGACCGACCAAGGATCACAATGGGTCCAACTCTGGACCACCGCCAGCTGATACTGGTACAGCTAAAGTACATAATGCAACATACTGACGATACACAAGCACCCGAAAAGTGATCACAGAAGGTCTCACGTTCTGCGTTTTTTTGGCGGAGGGGAGTTGTTTAATGCAGCGCCTAAGTTTGAAGCTAACTGTTGTTTTAAATCATCACAAAACGACATTCAGCTCCTTTAAATGTTAAATTACAGCCTCGTGACGGAGACAGTCAGCAGAGCATGTAGAGCAAGCAGAACCGTTGTAGCCCAATGTTTTAACAGAACCACCATGACTCCCCATCATAACCAACAGGCATTATGTCAGGATGTTATGGTCGGTGTGCTCTATAAAGCTTTCGTTAAGGACACACTAATTCAGAGCTTCCACGCCTAATCATTTACAATATATATAAAAATTATGTATATATGAATAATAGCGTAAATTTTTAATTCAAAGGAACCCTGCATTTTATCTTCTTGGAAGTGGAAGACCAGACTGGTGTTGATATATACAAGTGCGCCATGTACAATGACAATCGCGATAATATCCAACTTGGCAGCCCAAAGAAGCTGACACTTAAACGAGTAGAAGGTGAGAATATGCGAACCCATTTGAATCAGTCCATTCAGTGTAACAGTTGTATACGATTTAGTATGATTTCACATTTGATAACATATCAGACAAAGCTGCTCTATTAAAAACAATAGCACACTTATTGCAGTAAAACATGGAGTTTTGATATATTTATAAGTGGTACCATACCCTCAGCTTGCCTCTCTTTCATTTGATAGTGAATGATAAACGCATTCATATGCAATTATAGAAACGTGTTGCAGAACGTGGACTTGGCAGCTCTTGATGTTAATTCCACAACTTGTGGCTGCCAAGACTCACAATACTGCTATCAACCTGTTGGTCATATAATCACAGGTGGCTTCGCTATTGTTGACAATAGCATCCTTCGTCAGTTATATCAAATATGGACCAAAATATCGTGAGTAGCCTCCTACAAATGGAGATCACAACTTATTATTGATGTTGTCGAAGAATATGCCAATAAATGGGACAAAAGAGAACAGGAACCATTGGTAAAACGCACAAACTGAAAAAGAGGAAACAGAATTGGAATTAACCCATTCTGTCCCAGGCAGCTGTTATCCAAATTCAATCTGTAGTTTACTGACAAAACAATATGTGAAATGCTGGACTTCCTCATTAATAACGTTTATGTAAACTTTGGGGTAACATACATTTTGTGCTCCCCTTCTTGAGGATCTGTTTCTTTATGACCTGTTTCTGAACCATCTTGGTTTATAATTTCAGTTAAACCCCAAGTGCCTCCGAAAAATGTGTTTAAGACCGCCGATCCCCAGTTCCTCATAGGCCAAAAAGCAGAACTGGAGTGTGTTTTCAGTGGACAGTAAGTGTTAACAGTTCCGTAACATTCTATAGGACTGGTGTAGTTTCCATACATTAACATGGAGTGAGTGGAACAGGCTCTTGACGCACACCAAATCAGGAATTACGATAGGATTAATCAAAACTTCGAGAAACCATAGAAATCCAAAGAAATAAGATTGCCATCAGCAAACTTGAGACACTTGCATCAATCAAGTACAAATTGTACAGCCATAGCTTCCATTTTATCATTTCATTTGTCATTTTAATCTGTCATTTATCATAAAATTTACACGATAATAGTTACTTTAACCTAATACTATATTATATAATAATAATATAAATGAAAAGTAAAGCAACATCAATAACGTGGACATCGAAATCGGGATAATAGGAAATAGGAATAGGGATAAATGCAGCATAGTTGCTTTCATCATTGATATATTTGTACACGACTGTGTCGTCCATGTGCTTATAATGATCTGAAATAGAGCTCTTTTGCAGGCTGTGATTTTACGAAGAAGTGTAATGTATTTTATGCCAATTTTCTGTACCTGAAGCCCTATCCCGTCTGTCCATTGGTATGACCCGCGGAGAGGGCCCATCACGACCAACAAGAAGTACAAACTTGACAAGAACAACATGAAACTGCAGATTGTTAACCTAACAGATGATGATGAAGGCATTTATAGATGCAAGGGGGACAGCTCTATTTCTGTCGAAGACATCATCTTCCTGAACGTAACATGTAGGTTGTCATGAGCTATTCCACAACACAAAATGTGTTTGTTCCATTTCAAGCATTTACTGTCACCGTGATGTCTTCGAGAATGGCAGGGTTTAGTGTCTCTGGGAGGGTGTTAATGTGTTGGATGCAGCAGTGGTGTGGGAGATCTGTGTAGGATGTTCCAAATTGTGAATTGTGAATGTTTGTAGGGATGTTAGTGGAAATGTTTGTGGGGATGAAGGTGGATATGTTGGAGGGGACGTTTGTAGGGATGCTGGTGGGGATGTTGGTCGGATGTAGCTGGGTTGATTGTAGATGTGTTTATTGGAATGTTGGTGGGATGAGTGGGGATATCTTTCTTGGGATGTTTGTTGAAGATTGTGGATATATTTGTTGGGATGTTGGTGCGATGATTGTGGGTGTGATTGTTGGTATATTTGTTGGGATGTTGGTGCGATGACTGTGTGTGTGATTGTGGATATGTTTGTAGGGATTTGGGGACAAATGTGGGTGTGTTTTGGGGGATGTGGCTGTGTACTTTGGGCGGTTATGATTGTGGATATGTTTCTGGTAATATATGTTTGTGGGGATGATGGTGAGGTGATTGTGGATATATTTTTGTCGACGTTTGTGGGGGGAAATGTGGATATGATTGCGTGGATGTATTTTCGGGATGTTTGTGAGGTTGTTGATGGGTTGATTGTGGATATCTTTGTGGAGAAGTTGGATGGATGGGGCTGTTTGGATTGTTGAAATGTTTATTGGGATGTATGTGTGGATGTTGATGGAGGTGTTGATGGAATGATTGTGGATATGTTTGTGAGAGTGTTGTCAGATATGTTTGTGCGGATATTGGTTTGGATGATTGCCGATCTCATTCTTCGGTTATCGGTGGGGATGTTTGTGGGATGATTGTAAATATGTTTGTGCGGATATTGGTGGGATGATTGTGGATCTCATTCGGTGGAAATGTTTGTGGGATGATTGTAGATATGTTTGTGGGGATGTTCGTTTATGTGTTTGTTGGGATGTTGGTGCGATGATTGTGGGTATGATTGTGTGTATGTTTGTGTGGGTGTTGGGATGTTGGTGGGACTATCGAAGGATGTTATGGGGGACGTTTATGTGTACTTTGGGCGGATATGATTGTGGATATGTTTCTGTGGATTTTGTTGAATATGTTTGTCGGGATAATGGTGAGGTGATTGCGTATGTGTTTGTACGGGTCGTTTGTAGGGATGATTGTGTGGATGTTTTTCGGGATGTTTGTGAGGTCGTTGGTGGGACAATTGTGGAAATGCTTGTGGGGATAATGGGTGATTGTGGATATGTTTCTGGGGATACTAGTGGATATGTTTTGTTTTGTTTGTTTGTTTGGGGGCTTTTTCGGGGGGACGGGCCGTTGATGAGGATGGTGGCAGGGATGAAGGTTGGTGTTGTAAACTTAATCATCATATACCATGTTGCAGCTGGTCCTATCTGGGTACAGGGCATTAACAACCAGACTATCCCCGAAGGTCGAGATGCCACCTTCACCTGCAAGGCTCGTTCGGCTCGTGCGGAGAATGAGCCGAGTGCCCCTGTGTGGTACAAGAATGGGGTGAAGATCGATATGAACAATCCTCCAGGTCCAGATTATTTTCTATAGTTGGATTATCACACATAAGAGTATTTCACTTCCAGAGTTCGAGCTTGTACTTTAAAAATTAGGAAGTACTAAGCGAAACATTAACACTCCGAAATATAGATTATTGGGTAAGGTCATTGCAGTTTTTGGCCACGACACCTTTTTTTTACGTAATGCTGATAGTTGTTGATAGTACATACGTATGAAAAATATGTATGCATGCATGCAGAATATTCATACGTGAAATGTGTGATGAGTGACATCATGCTAGTATGTTGAAATTATATATTTTCTGCAATAGAACGAGATCCTATTTTTGCATTCAGACAGTATCAAAACGTATTGAGTCGAGAGGTACGACAATGTAAAGTATGAAAGTAAAGAATGAAATACTGAGATGAAGGATATGAAAAGTCTTCGTCCATGTATAGTGCTGAGTAAACACATTTTTGCATTTGCCGCAGGTAACGGAAAGATCCAATTCAGCGACCATGGTCGTGTTCTCACCGTGACAGACCTGACCAAGCCAGATGACATTATGTGCATTCAATGTCGGGTAGCCAACTCGATGGGCTCCGAGTTTGCTAACGGTTGTCTCAATGTCATAGGTAGGTAATACCCTTCTGACTGAATTGAGGCGCTTTTTACTTTATATGTGTTATTTTATTATATCAAAAATCAGTAAATCGAATTAATGATATAAAAACAAAAAATGGCATTACAAATTGGCCTTTTAGTTATAAACAATGTTTTTTAAGATATGACAAATTCAAAATTTATTTAACGAATTTTTTTTTATCAAAAATTCATATCTTGGTTCATGAAAATGTGTTTTCCCTACATAGACTAACAAGTCATACCGCAGCTAATAAACTACTAAATTTTCTGTCATGTTTCTCACGTAATATATGTTATATACTAGTATTCAAGGTTTCCCTCGCCGTGATATTTCTGGAATATTATGTTGCTATTATGTATTGCTAAAAGCAGTATAAAACCATACTCACTCACTCACTCATTTACTCACAAATGAAATTAAATTTGATAGGAAATGGAAAGCTCGTTTGATATCCCATCAATATTATATCTTATCAATGATTATATGTGAGATCTCTAGATCTCTAGATGAACTCTAAAATCAATCATTCGTTTTCCTTAAATGAATTCTTCATGTAGTATAACAGGGATTCAATGGCAAAATTGCACATCATACGTCAAAGCCCCGACATCAAAGTATCTACATCTCATGAAAGCTATGAAGTAAAATGTTCTTTTATTAAAAAGTTCATCGGACGTTATCTTGGTTGTTACCCACAACATAACATAGCTATGTTAAGTGAAAGCAATCAACCTATCGCGAAAGAATGAAGATTTCTCTTAAATCTCTAATAAAGCACTATCACGTCTAATGTTCACAAGTGAAACTGTGAGAGCAATATGATACTGACCTCGATCGAAAGTAAGTGAGTGTGTGAGTGAGTTTGGTTATACGCCGCTTTAAACAATATTCCAACAATATCACGGCAGGGGACAATAGAAATGGGCTTCAAACATTGTACCCATGTCGGGACTCGAACCAGGGTCTTCGGCGCGACGAGCGAACGCTTTAACCACTAGGCTACACGACCGCTCCGATTGAAAGTAAGATTGTACCATATAACAAACAGCCACATGAGAGCCAATTGTACCCATGACAGTTGATTGCATGTGGTAAAATCAGTTCAGTTGTTTCATAAAGTGATGATTCAATGGAACGAATCTATATCATGTTTTAGAGCCTATCAACGTGACTACACAGCCTCCACGCAGACAGGGCATCAAGAAAGGTGATCTGGTGAACCTCACTGTGCAGGGAACCACAGACCCGGGGATGACTCTCAGATACAGATGGGAATTCAAGAATAAAACGTATTACACAGAACTACCGCCACATGTGGTCTACGACGACGTCACAAAACAAACCTACATCAACACTACAAGTCTGAGCGATGAGGAGTACAAACAGATAGAAGGAACCTACACCGGAGTGCTGTATCACGACTTTGAAACCCGCCGTGTATTCATTGACGTCGTCCTAGAGGATGAGACAGGTTTGTATATATGAACATCGGATGCTGTCACCATGTCTGCTATGTCAAGCATGTGACTTATGTCTCTCAAATTAATAGTACCTTTAAGGTCGAGTTCAATTCCCAACATGTGTACATGTGGCGTCCAGGCGTGGTGTCCGTACGTCTTGAATTGGCTGGAATATTGCTAAAAGCTACCTATAGGCTACTCACTCACCCACTGGATGTGTTCCCCGAGGTGTGTACTTCTGTTGTGCCTGTTGATTACTGTGCGTTCTGAGGTAGTTTTGGGTCTCCTGACAGGCTCCCTTTTATAAGTTTGAAGGTTTCAAATATGCTTGATAACGCTTCTTTTGGAAGTTCTTAAAGAAGGAAAGTGACTATAAATAAATTATTCTTTAGGCTTCATAGACATAGATTTACGTATGAGTATCATATTTTGAAACACGTGTCAATGTTGTATAGAATAATATAACATATGCAAGTTGCAGATACATCCATTTAATACGAATGCCATGTTGCTAACGCGAAACTGTATTTTTGACATTCGGGCTATTCAGATATGTACGTATACATTTTTCCTGCCAATGTGTTTTTTATCTATCTTAAACTATTTCATAGTTCCAGAGCATCAGAGTTGTCATACGATGTTACATTTGACATCGTCAATCCACCAACCTCATAGACTTACATGGTGTCTACATCAGCAGTCATTGTATTACCCTAAATGTATGTGTCAATTCGTGTTATCATTGCAGCACCGATTGTAGTAGCACCGGCGGCCTTCCCGTTGTGGGTAATCATCCTAGTGGTCCTGTTCGTGGTGCTACTGGTTCTCCTCGTCCTCGCCTTCATCGTCATGTCCAGGAAGAAGGAAGAGGGAGCCTACAAAAGTACATAGTTTTAACCATATTGTAATTCAACAACGCGTTTGTGAGGGGTGCCACCGGTGGGGCAAGATACGCTCACTTTTATTCGAACACCTGGTATCATAACTATTTGATTGTGATTGCATAAACACATGCTTATGATACACTAGTAGTCGGAATCGTACTATGGACTCTGCTTTTAACAAACATTTCTTATATTATTATGGAAAGGATATTGTTGTCACGCCGAAGTCCGCGGTTGTGTGAAATCCATTTCTTGTGTCACTTGCCATGATTTTTCTAGAATCTTTAAGGATGTCTGCTCTTACCACCATGTAATCACTGCGCAACTCAAACTGTGTTTATTAATCACTAACAAATAGTGATGATACCAGGTGAAATGTCATTCTTAAGCAGTAGGCACAGTTTCTTAACACAAGGGAAAAGTGTAGCCAATTTGAGTCCAGTGTACGATTTAGACCGTGCCATAGCATGTGTTTATGAATCACTATTACATAGTGATGATAACAGGTGTTCGCGAAAAGGTTAGTATGTCCTGCCCCACCAGTGCCACCGTACACAAATACATGAGGCGTGGACGCCAGGAGTCTTAGGTTTAATGTTAGTTCGTCAAAGGTAGGAATTATATATCAATCAAAATCCACTGATTATAAATCCTCGTTTTACTACATAGTCGCGTATTGATTCTGCAAAGTAAAAGGAATGGAATTGATCACGGGAAATCCGTAAATGCGCACGTTGTTAAGATTGGCAAAGCAAAGTATCAGACTAGGAAATATGTGCTATGGAGATAGCTATATATATATTGAGCATTTGCTTATGCTCATATTCCCACTTTACTATAAAATATATTATAGAATGATTGAGTAATCATTCGCAGTGTTCACAGTATGCCATGGAGCTTTCTTATATATATAAACCATGTGTGATTAAAATATTGTTTAAAATTATATACCATTTATTATATCTAAATGCGAAACTGTGAACACTGCGAATGATTACTCAATCATTCTATAATGAATTTTATAGTAAAGTGGGAATATGAGGATAAGCAAATGCTCAAAGTGCCAAATACAAAGCAGTTAGGTAAAATAATAAAGGCTTTGGAAAACCTTTCATTGGCAAGGTCAAATACTCTTAATTTAGACCGGCGAACGTCCTTAAAATGTTCGTAAGTTGTAGGTTTACATCCTTCACAAAATTCCTCTTACTCTTCTCAAATAGGCACTGAGACGAACTATGGACTATTACCTCCATACGCGTGCACATCAGTCGTACGAATAATTTTAAGATAAGAACAAACGTTTGTGTGATGTAACTTGTTTCAGTTTACAAGACTGAACTCGATGTGGCGTATCTAGATCCGGACGATGATATTCAGAAGTGCAAGTTCCAAGAGGTGACCAAAATAGAGTGAGTATGGGTACCCAGAATAGAGCGTCTGAACATACCCTGACTGTAGTGAGTATAGATAGCCAGAATAGAGCGTCTGTACATATCCTGACTGTAGTGGGTATAGATACCCAGAATAGAGCGTCTGTACATACCCTGACTGTAGTGAGTATAGATACCCAGAATAGAGGGTCTGTACATACCCTGACTGTAGTGGGTATAGATAGTTAGATTAGAGCGTCTGTACATACCCTGACTGTAGTGGGTATAGATAGCCAGAATAGAGCGTCTGTACATACCCTGACTGTAGTGGGTATAGATACCCAGAATAGAGCGTCTGTACATACCCTGACTGTAGTGGGTATAGATACCCATAATAGAGCGTCTGTACATACCCTGACTGTAGTGAGTATAGATACCCAGAATAGAGCGTCTGTACATACCCTGACTGTAGTGGGTATAGATACCCAGAATAGAGCGTCTGTACATACCCTGACTGTAGTGAGTATAGATACCCAGAATAGAGGGTCTGTACATACCCTGACTGTAGTGGGTATAGATAGTTAGATTAGAGCGTCTGTACATACCCTGACTGTAGTGGGTATAGATAGCCAGAATAGAGCGTCTGTACATACCCTGACTGTAGTGGGTATAGATACCCAGAATAGAGCGTCTGTACATACCCTGACTGTAGTGGGTATAGATACCCATAATAGAGCGTCTGTACATACCCTGACTGTAGTGAGTATAGATACCCAGAATAGAGCGTCTGTACATACCCTGACTGTAGTGGGTATAGATACCCAGAATAGAGCGTCTGTACATACCCTGACTGTAGTGGGTATAGATACCCAGAATAGAGCGTCTGTACATACCCTGACTGTAGTGGGTATAGATACCCAGAATAGAGCGTCTGTACATACCCTGACTGTAGTGGGTATAGATACCCATAATAGAGCGTCTGTACATACCCTGACTGTAGTGAGTATAGATACCCAGAATAGAGCGTCTGTACATACCCTGACTGTAGTGGGTATAGATACCCAGAATAGAGCGTCTGTACATACCCTGACTGTAGTGGGTATAGATACCCAGAATAGAGCGTCTGTACATACCCTGACTGTAGTGAGTATATATACCCAGAATAGAGAGTTTGTACATACCCTGACTGTAGTGGGTATAGATACCCAGAATAGAGCGTCTGTACATACCCTGACTGTAGTGGGTATAGATACCCATAAAAGAGCGTCTGTACATACCCTGACTGTAGTGAGTATAGATACCCAGAATAGAGCGTATGTACATACCCTGACTGTAGTGAGTATAGATACCCAGAATAGAGAGTTTGTACATACCCTGACTGTGGTGAGTATAGATAACCAGCGTCTATAAAATCACAAGGAAGAGCGCCTCTCAACCCACACACAAACTACAAAGGGACGTGTGGACGTGTGCTACAGTGAGAAGAGTAGAGTTGCGTCCCTTAGGAATGCCATGTTGTCTTTGTCGTAGCTTCGAATCACTGAAATTCGCACTATAATAATTCTTGTTTTGTCAGCAAAATACCCTTGTCCGTGGGTTTGCCTAAATAAGTAGACGTTTTGAACCAGCGACACTTTGGGCGTTCATTACCTGTTAAGCTGACACTCCTTGACATAGTTTTGTTCAAAACGGCGGAAAACCTCACTCACTCACTCACTCACTCACTCACTCACTCACGCGCCCACGCACCCACGCACCCACGCACCCACGCACCCACTCACTCACTCACTCACCCACTCACCCACGCACCCACCATTGATTAAACACGTATATAATCAAATGAACACGCCCGTGTCAGGGTACATAGCCAGACATGGTTAACCACGAAGGCGACCTGAGTTATTAGCCGTTACAGATACCCTCACACACTCAAAAGAACACATCCAAGTCAGGGTTCATAGCCAGACATGGTTAACCACGAAGGCGACCTGAATTATCTGCCGCTACTAGAGATCAATGATTATCAGGCGTTGATAAATTGCAATATTGTGTTTTTCAGGTACTCTGATCTGTATGACGGAAAGAATAATGCAGGTCCTTAGAAGGATAATATTTCTCCAGCAAGTTGCGCGTCTTAGTTCGATCATATGGTTTGGCCGAGAGGAGCTACTGGTTTATCGCCCAACATTACTACGTGATATTGCGATTCAACAGATTGAAATCCGAAGAGGACTGTACGTGATGCTGCGAGGTCAATGGTCCTGTGTACCACAAGGCAAGAGGTCAAGCGGCGTACACAAACTTTCAGCTCGTAAATACCGTACACCCCACTTGTGACACATGAAACGAATGTTCCATAGCTATGATCTTCGGAGAGATAGTTGTGACATTCGAAGTCTCATGCCCATGGTTCAAGTTGCGAATAGAGCCATTTGTGATGAGATTCTCTTTTTAAAAGACTTTGACTGTCGTGTGAGATGGCTAGAGTTCAGAGTAATGACAGAATTCTACGTGCTAACAGCCTTCATTATGATGGATCTTACTAATCATTAAAATATTCTAACATTTACTGGGGGTACGGGTGGCCCAGTCGTCTAAGGCGCCGCGATTCGCTGTGCATAGTTGCGGCCCTTGGGCACGCCAGAAACCTATGATTGTGGGTTCGAATCCCGGTTCGCCCCGATTATGTTTCAAGGTTTGTCAGCACCATACCCGTGCTCGTGGGTTTCACCAAAGTGGTAAACGTCTGAGACCTGCATCACTTCGGGCTTTCCTCCCACACTAAGCTGACACCCCGCGATATTACTGGAATACTGTTAAAAGCGGCGTTAAACCCAACTCACTCATTCTAACATTTACTTCCCCCGATAATAACCCTGTACCAGGGAATGCAAGATATCTACTTGTAGGGTTGTAGAGTTCATACAGTATTACTGTCCGAAGATATTATGCCTTTCCATGTTTTCTAATTTTCTGTTTATAATCTGATATTACTGCTCAGATTGTATTAGTGTAGACATTATTTGTATCATAATTGTTGTATATACGTCCAGTGTTTTGTTTATGGCGCCATCAGGCTACCTAAATGCTACACAAGTGAACTGATTGTCAATTAACGCTAAAGGTGTTAACTTGTTTGGATGGAAAAGCGTTTCACATCGTGAGTTTCCCCTTCATGTCGAAACTAAGCTTTTCGATCCGTATTTCACAGCAAAGACCAGGTCAATTCATTCCAGAAATGGTATGGTGGACATTCAGAGGCATGTACTAAATACGACACGTTGCTTGTGCGGTGTTATCCCATACTATGACCTTTACAGGGAGTTTCACACCCAGCTTAATCACAGGCACTTACTTTGATGACTCTGGTGGTCATGCTTGGTGTCCTTGGTTGACAGCGTGGCATTGCTTATGATACTGATCCCTGAATTGTCCGGTCCAGACGCAATCGTTTACAGGCGATATGGAAGGAGCATTGCTGGGTGAGGGTTTAGGCATTAGACAAACACTTGTTTTTAATGAAAATTGTGTGATTGATGCGTACTACCTGTAGAGCAGGACAGGCTTGCTCTTTTCGCGGGTTCGACAGGTTCGAATCCTAGTATGTCGGATTGTTAATTTCCAAGGAAATGTGAAACCCCATATTGGTTCGACCGGGATTCAGTTTTGTCACCAGGGTGACGATCCTGAAATTCAAGTCCTTGCTAGGCTGGCAGTTTCTTCCTATGAAAGGCTGCCAAGGTACCTGAATGTTTTTACTACCGACATGCTTACCCTTTCCGCAAACACCTAGTGTTATCACTGATGTCCAGTGATCCAATAACATAATTTAATCGCTATTTTACTTTTTACACACAATGGAATCTGTTTCGGCAGGTAAACGAGACCAATTTAATTACTTTCTGGAGTTGGAAATGTTGAATTAGGATGGACGTATGTGATACTATTTCTACAGGTTTCCTTCTTTTTATATTCCCTTGCATATGAAACGGAATTTCTGCTCGGATTGGCAAAGTCAAAACAAGGTAATTTGGCCAAGATGTTTAACGTAAGCGTCAGTTATATTGATAATAGCATATCGTTTAATAAGCATCAAATAGCCAATTTTCGTCCACTGATTTACCCACCTGAACTAGAAATAAAGGAGACAAGCGAGACCACCTTGCCTGTTTCATATTTAGATATGTGCAGAAAGATTCAGCGTGACAAAGAAACTCTCCACAAAACTATGACACAAGAGATGACTTCAACTTTCGAGCAATATTCCAGCAGCTCCAGACATTGGTTTCCTTATTTCATTGATTTTGAGGTACAATCGATCATGTTCTTCCCACAAAGATTTCAAAGAGCATCATGTGACTCTTGCCCAGAAGTTTTATATTTAGTTCACAACATTCAATGCCGCAGTAAAGCTTTCCCGGCGTTTTGTAGTGGACGCATCTGTGACAAAAAGAATGTCCGATACAACTCCCTATTTTGACTTGTCCCGTGTGTTTGTAACAAGTGCCATCGATGTGGCGGGATAAAACCTTTTCGCGAACACCTGGCATCATTTCTACTTGATAGTGATTCATAAACACTTGCCCATTACACAGGCCAAATCGAAAATCGACTCTGCCTTCAGCAAATATTTCTTGTGGCTATGGAAAGGGTTTTGTTGCTTTTGTTGTTAATTCATAGATCTTTGTGTTTTTGTTTTATTGTTATATTCCAGTTACAACATTCACATGATCTGTAATTATTCTTTCATAACTTTCTCCGATAAAAAATAATTGTTCCTAGAATGCGTATATCTAGTATTTTTCATTATTAGTAATTACGAGCGACTGGACCGAAAATTTCACAATCGATAAATTTAATGTTACTTTCCGGAAACGAAGAGAAAACTGCAAAATTTAACTTGAAGGGTGTGTTTTCTTCTTGGAAAAGTCTACAGAACACATCTAAAAGAAATCGATGTTACTCATTTCTGTTTATATTCACATTTTCACAGCCGAAAACAGAAATCCGCGTTCAACTTGTCACATGTAGCTTGTTTGACAAGAAACGTAATGAATCTTTCACACCACACCTATATGCCTTTGACCTGTCTTCAAGTATAAATCGCATATTCTTCTCTCAGGCTTTCCAAACGCTTTATCTCAGTCAATATAATAAATATAAAGCTATAACTCAGGGTTTGTTAGGAGGGGGCATGGTCTATGGAGGGTCTTCAGTGGTTAAAGGAGTAGTGTGAGGTTATATTGGTCCATCGTAGTCATGCAATGTCAGAGTGTGAGGCTATGTTGGTCCACCGTGGCCATGCAGTGTCGGACTGTGAGGTTATGTTGGTCCACCGTGGCCATGCAGTGTCAGAGTGTGAGGCTATGTTGGTCCGAGGTGGCCATGCAGTGTCGGACTGTGAGGTTATGTTGGTCCACCGTGGCCATACAGTGTCAGAGTGTGAGGTTATGTTGGTCCACCGTGGCCATGCAGTGTCGGACTGTGAGGTTATGTTGGTCCACCGTAGCCATACAGTGTCAGAGAGTGAGATTATGTTGGTCCACCGTGGCCATGCAGTGTCAGACTGTGAGGCTATGTTGGTCCACCGTGGCCATACAGTGTCAGAGAGTGAGGTTATGTTGGTCCACCGTGGTCATGCAGTGTCAGAGTGTGAGGTAATGTTGGTCCACCATGGCCATACAGTGTTAGAGTGTGAAGTTATGTTGGTCCACCGTGGCCATGCAGTGTCAGACTGTGAGGTTATGTTGGTCCACCGTGGCCATGCAGTGTCGGAGAGTGAGGTTATGTTGGTCCACCGTGGCCATATAGTGTCAGAGTGTAAGGTTATGTTGGTCCACCGTGGCCATGCAGTGCCAGAGTGTGAGGTTATGTTGGTCCACCGTGGCCATAAAGTGTCAGAGTGTGAGGTTATGTTGGTCCACCGTGGTCATGCAGTGTCAGAGTGTGAGGTTATGTTTATCCACCGTAGCCATACAGTGTCAGAGTGTGAGGCTATGTTGGTCCACCGTTGCCATACAGTGTCAGAGTGTGAGGTTATGTTGGTCCACCGTGGCCATACAGTGTCAGAGTGTGAGGTTATGTTGGTCCACCGTAGCCATACAGTGTCAGAGTGTGAGGCTATGTTGGTCCGCCGTTGCCATACAGTGTCAGAGTGTGAGGTTATGTTGGTCCACCATGGCCATACAGTGTCAGAGTGTGAGGTTATGTTGGTCCACCATGGCCATACAGTGTCAGAGTGTGAGGCTATGTTGGTCCGAGGTGGCCATGCAGTGTCGGACTGTGAGGGTATGTTGGTCCACCGTGGCCATACAGTGTCAGAGTGTGAGGTTATGTTGGTCCACCGTGGTCATGCAGTGTCGGACTGTGAGGTTATGTTGGTCCACCGTGGCCATGCAGTGTCAGAGTGTGAGGCTATGTTGGTCCGAGGTGGCCATGCAGTGTCGGACTGTGAGGTTATGTTGGTCCACCGTGGCCATACAGTGTCAGAGTGTGAGGTTATGTTGGTCCACCGTGGCCATGCAGTGTCGGACTGTGAGGTTATGTTGGTCCACCGTAGCCATACAGTGTCAGAGAGTGAGATTATGTTGGTCCACCGTGGCCATGCAGTGTCAGACTGTGAGGCTATGTTGGTCCACCGTGGCCATACAGTGTCAGAGAGTGAGGTTATGTTGGTCCACCGTGGTCATGCAGTGTCAGAGTGTGAGGTAATGTTGGTCCACCATGGCCATACAGTGTTAGAGTGTGAAGTTATGTTGGTCCACCGTGGCCATGCAGTGTCAGACTGTGAGGTTATGTTGGTCCACCGTGGCCATGCAGTGTCGGAGAGTGAGGTTATGTTGGTCCACCGTGGCCATATAGTGTCAGAGTGTAAGGTTATGTTGGTCCACCGTGGCCATGCAGTGCCAGAGTGTGAGGTTATGTTGGTCCACCGTGGCCATACAGTGTCAGAGTGTGAGGTTATGTTGGTCCACCGTGGTCATGCAGTGTCAGAGTGTGAGGTTATGTTGGTCCACCGTAGCCATACAGTGTCAGAGTGTGAGGCTATGTTGGTCCACCGTCACCATACAATGTCAGAGTGTGAGGTTATGTTGGTCCACCGTGGCCATACAGTGTCAGAGTGTGAGGTTATGTTGGTCCACCGTAGCCATACAGTGTCAGAGTGTGAGGCTATGTTGGTCCGCCGTTGCCATACAGTGTCAGAGTGTGAGGTTATGTTGGTCCACCATGGCCATACAGTGTCAGAGTGTGAGGTTATGTTTGTCCATCTTAGCCATACAGTGTCAGAGTGTGAGGCTATGTTGGTCCACCGTTGCCATACAGTGTCAGAGTGTGAGGGTATGTTGGTCCACCGTAGCCATGCAGTGTCGGAGCGTGAGGTAATGTTGGTCCACCGTGGTCATGCAGTGTCAGAGTGTGAGGCTATGTTGGTCCACCGTAGCCATGCTGTGTCAGAGTGTGAGGCTATGTTGGTCCACCGTGGCCATACAGTGTCAGACTGTGAGGTTATGTTGGTCCACCGTGGCCATGCAGTGTCAGACTGTGAGGCTATGTTGGTCCACCGTAGCCATGCAGTGTCAGAGTGTGAGGTTATGTTGGTCCACCGTGGCCATGCAGTGTCAGAGTGTGAGGCTATGTTGGTCCACCGTGGCCATACAGTGTCAGAAAGTGAGGTTATGTTGGTCCACCGTGGCCATGCAGTGTCCGACTGTGAGGTTATGTTGGTCCACCGTGGCCATACAGTGTCAGAGAGTGAGGCTATGTTGGTCCACCGTAGCCATGCAGTGTCAGAGTGAGGTTATGTTGGTCCACCGTGGTCATGCAGTGTCGGAGTGTGATGTTATGTTGGTCCACCGTAGCCATGCAGTGTCAGAGTGTGAGGTTATGTTGGTCCACCGTGGCCATACAGTGTCAGAGAGTGAGGTTATGTTGGTCCACCGTGGTCATGCAGTGTCGGAGTGTGATGTTATGTTGGTCCACCGTAGCCATGCAGTGTCAGACTGTGAGGTTATGTTGGTCCACCGTGGCCATGCAGTGTCCGACTGTGAGGTTATGTTGGTCCCCCGTGGCCATACAGTGTCAGAGAGTGAGGCTATGTTGGTCCACCGTAGCCATGCAGTGTCAGAGTGTAAGGTTATGTTGGTCCACCGTAGCCATGCAGTGTCAGACTGTGAGGTTATGTTGGTCCACCGTGGCCATACAGTGTCAGAGTGTAAGGTTATGTTGGTCCACCGTGGCCATGCAATGTCAGACTGTGAGGTTATGTTGGTCCACCGTGGCCATACAGTGTCAGAGAGTGAGGTTATGTTGGTCCACCGTGGCCATGCAATGTCAGACTGTGAGGTTATGTTGGTCCACCGTGGCCATACAGTGTCAGAGAGCGAGGTTATGTTGGTCCACCGTGGCCATGCAGTGTCAGACTGTGAGGCTATGTTGGTCCACCGTGGCCATATAGTGTCAGAGTGTAAGGTTATGTTGGTCCACCGTGGCCATGCAGTGTCAGACTGTGAGGCTATGTTGTTCCACCGTGGCCATACAGTGTTAGAGTGTGAGGTTATGTTGGTCCACCGTGGCCATACAGTGTCAGAGAGTGAGGTTATGTTGGTCCACCGTGGCCATGCAGTATCGGACTGTGAGGCTATGTTGGTCCACCGTGGCCATACAGTGTCAGAGAGTGAGGCTATGTTGGTCCACCGTGGCCATGCAGTGTCAGACTGTGAGGCTATGTTGGTCCACCGTGGCCATGCAGTGTCAGAGTGAGGTTATGTTGGTCCACCGTGGCCATACAGTGTCGGAGTGTGATGTTATGTTGGTCCACCGTAGCCATGCAGTGTCAGAGCGTGAGGTAATGTTGGTCCACCGTGGTCATGCAGTGTCAGACTGTGAGGCTATGTTGGTCCACCGTAGCCATGCAGTGTCAGAGTGTGAGGTTATGTTGGTCCACGGTAGCCATACAGTGTCATACTGTGAGGTTATGTTGGTCCACCGTGGCCATGCAGTGTCAGAGTGTGAGGCTATGTTTGTCCACCATGGCCATACAGTGTTGGAGTGTGAAGTTATGTTGGTCCACCGTGGCCATGCAGTGTCAGAGTGTGAGGTTATGTTGGTCCACCGTGGCCATGCAGTGTCAGACTGTGAGGCTATGTTGGTCTACCGTGGCCATGCAGTGTCAGACTGTGAGGCTATGTTAGTCCACCGTAGCCATGCAGTGTCAGAGTGTGAGGCTATGTTGGTCCACCGTGGCCATACAGTGTCAGACTGTGAGGCTATGTTGGTCCACCGTGGCCATGCAGTGTCAGACTGTGAGGCTATGTTGGTCCACCGTAGCCATGCAGTGTCAGAGTGTGAGGTTATGTTGGTCCACCGTGGCCATGCAGTGTCAGAGTGTGAGGCTATGTTGGTCCACCGTAGCCATACAGTGTCAGAGTGTGAGGTTATGTTGGTCCACCGTGGCCATACAGTGTCAGAGAGTGAGGTTATGTTGGTCCACCGTGGCCATGCAGTGTCCGACTGTGAGGTTATGTTGGTCCACCGTGGCCATACAGTGTCAGAGAGTGAGGCTATGTTGGTCCACCGTAGCCATGCAGTGTCAGAGTGAGGTTATGTTGGTCCACCGTGGTCATGCAGTGTCGGAGTGTGATGTTATGTTGGTCCACCGTAGCCATGCAGTGTCAGAGTGTGAGGTTATGTTGGTCCACCGTGGCCATACAGTGTCAGAGAGTGAGGTTATGTTGGTCCACCGTGGTCATACAGTGTCAGAGTGTAAGGTTATGTTGGTCCACCGTGGCCATGCAATGTCAGACTGTGAGGTTATGTTGGTCCACCGTGGCCATACAGTGTCAGAGTGTAAGGTTATGTTGGTCCACCGTGGCCATGCAGTGTCAGACTGTGAGGCTATGTTGTTCCACCGTGGCCATACAGTGTTAGAGTGTGAGGTTATGTTGGTCCACCGTGGCCATACAGTGTCAGAGAGTGAGGTTATGTTGGTCCACCGTGGCCATGCAGTGTCGGACTGTGAGGCTATGTTGGTCCACCGTGGCCATACAGTGTCAGAGAGTGAGGCTATGTTGGTCCAACGTGGCCATGCAGTGTCAGACTGTGAGGCTATGTGGGTCCACCGTGGCCATGCAGTGTCAGAGTGAGGTTATGTTGGTCCACCGTGGCCATGCAGTGTCGGAGTGTGATGTTATGTTGGTCCACCGTAGCCATGCAGTGTCAGAGTGTGAGGTTATGTTGGTCCACCGTAGCCATGCAGTGTCAGACTGTGAGGCTATGTTGGTCCACCGTGGCCATGCAGTGTCAGACTGTGAGGCTATGTTGGTCCACCGTAGCCATAGAGTGTCAGAGAGTGAGGTTATGTTTGTCCACCGTGGCCATGCAGTGTCGGAGCGTGATGTTATGTTGGTCCACCGTAGCCATGCAGTGTCAGAGTGTGAGGTTATGTTGGTCCACCGTGGCCATACAGTGTCAGAGAGTGAGGTTATGTTGGTCCACCGTGGTCATGCAGTGTCGGAGTGTGATGTTATGTTGGTCCACCTTAGCCATGCAGTGTCAGACTGTGAGGTTATGTTGGTCCACCGTGGCCATACAGTGTCAGAGTGTGAGGTTATGTTGGTCCACCGTGGCCATGCAGTGTCGGACTGTGAGGTTATGTTGGTCCACCGTGGCCATGCAGTGTCAGAGTGTGAGGCTATGTTGGTCCGAGGTGGCCATGCAGTGTCGGACTGTGAGGTTATGTTGGTCCACCGTGGTCATGCAATGTCAGAGTGTAAGGTTATGTTGGTCCACCGTGGCCATACAGTGTCAGAGAGTGAGGTTATGTTTGTCCTCCGTGGCCATGCAGTGTCAGAGTGTAAGGTTATCAGTAGTCAGTATACTGTGTCTGAGTGGGGTATTCATGTTAAACTATAAATTGGCATCAGTCCGGACTAGTCCGGACTAGTTCAAGCAGCCACACACACACGTGCATGCACGTCGCTATATAACTGCAATAGTCTTGGACGCGACGTTAAACCCCATTTCACCTCACCTCACAATTCGTCCATGTTAACCCTTATTGAGATAGACATGTTTGTGTCATTTCAGTGCTTTGTTTTGTTTATAAACTTCATGTGTTTTTCCGACCTTGCTGCTATCGGATGCAACAAACACCAAAGGAATAGTCACTGCCCATACAATGTGAGCAAATAATATAAGCTAACCCACTTTACGTTTCACATTTAGTCCTACAACACATCCGTGTACAATCACAATATCATACTTTTTGTCCATATGGAATAAACTCAAGCTCTGTAAAATTGTTTTATTCGGGAAAAGGTATAGAAGTGTCATAATTAAAAAAACTATAGACGTGAGCTGTACATATAATCAGATACCTTTAGCATGAAAATACACTTATATAGTTAGTAATACTGCACAATGAACTAAAATGAAACAAAAAACAAACAAGTTCATATCGTCACCATTTGGTTAACACCTTTCGCACGTGTACTGTAATAAATAACACTATATATACACGGAGGGCATATCGTTAACAAGATGGCAGTGTAAACACAACAATGTAATTATGAGTATAAGAGGTAAACAGCAGGAGCTGTAAGATGTACACCTGGAGATAGCATTGAAACATAGTGAAACATGCTGTAAATCAGCAGAAACGGTACATAAAGTATATATTGAGCTGATAATAATGGACAAACTATACTGCAGGGGAGTGGACACATGTGATGGTCCTGCTCTAAGCATAACATCTACTGACAAGTGTGCAACCAAACAGCATTCTGTGACTATCTATAAGCAAATTACATAGAATTACCTAGTGTTAACTAAGACAAAGGGGTGACAGCCTAAACTAATACACTAAGCTACTTGTTTTGTTTGTTTGTTGCTTAACGCCACACTCGTCTATATTACAGCTGTATGGCGGCGGTCTGTAAATAATCGAGTCTGAACCAGACAATCCAATGACTGACATCATAAACATCGGTCTTTGTAATTGGGATACGATGACATAGATCAACCAAGTCAGCGAACCTCACCACCCGTTCCGATTAGCCGCCTCTTACGACAAATGTGGGTTGCTGAAGACCAATTCTAAACCGGATCTTTTAATCTTAAAATACAATTACCTTCTTTGGAATACAATGAACACGACAGACAATATTCAAAGCATCCCCAGGACAGAATCATAGGCATTGGATCAACAGGCACATTATGGAAAAATTGTTTATACAAAAAAGTAAAATACTCTAAATGTTTTATTTCAACAAGTATATTAGAAATGTATTTGGTATAATAATGTTCTTTGGAATATGGTAAGAGAATATTAGCACCGGAATATTCGGACGTACGACAATATCTTTTTCATATTGCTGAAAACTGATCACCACATTTGGATTATTCAGATGAGAATTCTTTCCTGAATACCACTTAGTGGGTCCCACATGTCCATTAAATGTGGACAAGCCGGCTGTCTGCGTTTCTGTTCCAAGACTTGTATACTACTTGGAGCTAGTTGATCTGATGGCCTGATGAAATAAAATATATACACTTGTGTTTGAAATTTAGTGAATGCAAACAAGATGTGAGTTGCGACTTTCTACATGCATATACTTTAATGCATTACATGTATATACTGTATTTGTGCATTTCATCTTTGTTTAAGACAAAGGCATTTAAAGTTCAACAGGTTTGACAAATGATACTACAGCATATGCATGTCGGCAACATAAAACTACCGTATATAAGTTTACAACAAAAAATACCTGGGACAAGTGCTGAAAGAAAATGGAACATAGAACATTTATAGGAAAATCATATTGTTCAGATCGTCAGGTTTGTTTAGAAAAACGTTTTGTGCAAGGACATACATGTATTGGTAATTATCGAATTGTGTTTGTTGTGATTGTGTAGAAGCAAATAAAACTAGTGTATTGTGCATCTGTAACTTGCAATGTAATATTTTTTCAAATTATCAATATAACTATATTACAATATATCAGTACCCCTAAAAGTGTTTATTTCTGCCAACTAGACTAAATGTAAAAACGTTGTTTTGTATTAAGTGGTATACTCTTTGGCTGGTGTCTCTCAAGTTCTGTTTCGTGTTCAATCGTGTTTAACCATATCCTGTTCAACTCGAGGCCGGTAAACAAGTGTTATTTTATACATTATTCATGTTTATCTCGATCACAGGATTCATTGTGGAATACCTCAACATATGCAGGATGCAAGATGTCGGAATACAAAATAGTGATATGGGCATGGACTTCCTACATCTCAGAGAAATGTATATACTGTTGGAATGGTAATGGCGATGAAAACAAACGTCAATTATCAAATGCATCACTTAGTGGACTAATTGTGTAAAGGAACATGAAAACGAAACGTCGACTCCCATCTACGTAGAAAGAATCGCAAAGAGACGATTTAATGGCTTCAACTTTTTGTTGAAAGTAATGAATATGCTCAAAGTATACTTTGTTTGATGTGAATGTGTTTTGTTTGCAAAAGAATAAATAAGTGAGTTCTTACATCCAGTGTGTAATCCTGACTAAAATCATAGCCAAACATGCAAAATATGAAGATGATTTGGTGTCCATACAGAAGTTGTTTTGGTAGCCAAATATGTTGACTTGGTACCCGAATATGTAAATATAAAGTTGATTTAGAAATAAGGTTGATTCGTTAAAGACGTTTCGTCAGTGGTTCCCAAAGCGGCCGAATCGGCCTGTTTAGTTGAGCAGCCAAGTACGTTGATATGTTTTTAAAGTATCAACACAACGTCTTCAAAGATCTTGACTTGCTCTAGTTGCATACTGTCCTACAAAAGACGCGTCATCGCTGAAGTACGCGGCGTTGAATTTACCTCCAGCATAACCGTCTAGCGAGTCCATGTCGTCATCACTGAGGTCATAGTTTGGGTTGAGACGTTTCTTCAGAGATTCGTCTCCTTCAGGCCTGCAAGCAGAACATCTTTCTACACGGGGAACGGGCAGGGATGAAGGTTAATTGATTACATCTAACGCATAGGCATCCTAATGATCTTTTCCTGTGAGTTGGAAACGTCAACGCTAGGAAATAAGCCGTCTCGATTATCCGCTGAAATGGATTCCATTGGGTGTAACACGCAACATATGTCGGTGAAAACTATATGAATGGACCACCGAAAATGCATACTCTCTCCATCCGTACAATGCCCTCCCTCCCTCTCTCCATATTCGTACAATGCCCTCTCTCCACCCTCTGTCTCTCTTTCCCTTTTCGTACAATGCTTTCTCTCTCCCTGTTCGTGCAATGCTCTCTCTTTCAGAGGATATAATCGCTCTCTATTTAATTCGCACAATGTATACTCTTTAGACACTATATACTCACTCTATGCTTGTGACATTCTGGAATTTATGATCCTCAATATCCTTGTCCGGGTGTAAGTAGATAGTGTCCTTCTCGATGGCGTACACTGAAAATCAGACACACAATGAATATCAAATGCTACGGCAGCCAAATGAGCTTGTTTATGAGCTGCAGTTATAAGCCCGCATACAAAAGGGGACATTTTTACACAACATACATTTGAATTGTAAAACCTAGCCGAGTCAAAGATCTATCATCAGTAATACGAAGCATAAAGATACCTTCATCGGGTGCAAAATAATACTAACAAATGTAACAAGTGTACAATGTTCTCACATAAATGTTTACCTTCCAAAATGTATTAATATTATTTAATGGGACTATGCTGTATCAATATAAATAGGACTGACTTGTTTCGACTTGTTTTTTCTGTCAAGAATTATTACATTCTTTCAAGACAATCGTGTCGTTATTAATGCATGTGTTGCTCAGAAAAGATCTTTATTCTCAACAAATATCTTGTATCAAGTATTTCGAAGTAAACGTGTGGATCTTAGACGTATACTAGTCTTCGTGAATGAAAATTGCAGGGAGACAAGAAATCGTTTTTCCACAGCATTTAATGAAAAATGTTAACGAGAAATGTGACGGCGTTTAGATATATAGGAGCCATATCGTGGAGTAGGATATCAGGACTTGGTTTATCACAGAGTATTAATGTTGGAAATCGTACCTGACCTGTTCGTCGTGGCGAGCGAAAGCTCTACTAACAAACCAACCAGAGAAAATGGGTGGGACAACACCATTTGAAATGTTAAATAATGAAAGGTCTACCTCTGTACGCTCCCCGATCCTTCTTCTTGCGATAGCAGCAGCAGCAGATGATGATCAGTATGATGAGGAGGATGAGGAGGATAAGCAGGATGATCAGCCAAATCGGCACCCCTGCACCACTAATCAGAATCGGTCCAACTGAAAATCATCACAAAGTATGAACACACAATGCCATTTAGAAAGTGGTCAAATGTAACAAATGTTATATTTGGGGTAACACTTTCTGAGTGAAGTACAGATTCTCGTACTTTTTTTGGTAGAGTCCCGTCCGGGATTCGAACCCATCACAAAGTAGACGGTATAGTGAGTGAAAAACTGTTGTTTTATACCACGTTCATATAGTGAGTGAGATATTGTTGCTTTACACAACGTTCATATAGTGCGTGAGAAACTGTTGTTTTACACTACGCTCACATAGTGAGTGAAAAATGTTGTTTTACATCACAACGATATAGTGTCCCCGTAATTCCCACGATGACGAAAACCACGTTCATTTACAATACATTTGTGCATAGTATATTCCTTTGTCTCTGTCTCTGTCTCTGTCTCTGTCTTTGTCTCTGTCTCTGTCTCTGTCTCTGTCTGTTTCTGTCTCTGTCTCTGTCTCTGTCTGTCTCTGTCTGTCTCTGTCTGTCTCTGTCTTTGTCTCTGTCTCTGTCTCTGTCTGTCTCTGTCTTTGTCTTTGTCTCTGTCTGTCTCTGTCTCTGTTTCTGTCTGTCTCTGTCTGTCTCTGTCTGTCTCTGTCTCTGTATCTGTCTTTGTCTCTGTCTTTGTCTCTGTCTTTGTCTCTGTCTGTCTCTGTCTCTGTCTGTCTCTGTCTCTGTCAATGTCTTTGTCTGTCTCTGTGTCTGTCTGTCTCTGTCTCTGTCTCTGTCTCTGTCTTTGTCTTTGTCTCTGTCTGTCTCTGTCTGTCTGTCTCTGTCTGTCTCTGTCTCTGTCTGTCTGTCTCTGTCTCTGTCTCTGTCAATGTCTGTCTCTGTCTCTGTCTCTGTCTGTCTCTGTCTCTGTCTGTCTCTGTCTCTGTCTGTCTGTCTCTGTCTCTGTCTCTGT